CGGTCATAAAATAGTCACACAATTATCTGTTTAACACAATCATGGAAGAGAAGCTGGGATTTCACTTCTATTATATTGACTAAACTAACGGTAGAGTGTCATGTTGAAGCAATATGTTAAGCCAGAGGAAGTTATACGCCAGTTGAATTCACCGTTTTGCCACAAATAACAAAGAAATGTTATACAATCAACAAGTGTTTTGTAAAATTGTAGGGTAACACATCAGGACAGGGCCGGTGGGGTAGCCTAGTGGTTAAAGCGTTCGCTCGTCACATCAAAGACCCGGGTTCGATTCCCCACATGGGTACAATGTGTGAAGCCCATTTCTGGTGTTCCCCGTCGTGATATTGCTGGAATATTGCTTAAAGCGGCGTAAAACCATACCGACAACAGATTCCATCAGGGTAGCCGATAACAAACAACTGTCCACTCACTCTCATTCGTAACTACTCGCCTCTTCCCGTGACCTATATTGTTAATATAGTGTGAGGGTGTTCTATGTGTGAGATGAATGTATGTTTTAGTATTAATTATTATAAGTATATTTAATGCAAAAGGTCTCTCATAACCCACGTGGGTGGCCGATATAATAAATGAAACCAATGTATTTTATGTATTTTTACTATGTATTGTATCGGGTGAGACAGCACATCCTGTATGTATGTTCCATGACTCATACTGATAAATGTTCTTCTCCCCTTGCTTTCGTAAACGTATTTAGTTTACAGTCATGTAAATGTTATGTGTGTGTGTGTGTGTGCGCGCGCGCGCGCATGTGCGTATGCGTGTGCGTGCATGCTTAAAGCGGATACGTTGTGGAATTATCGCAAATAATTTACCACCATGTTTTGCTAGCTTTAATTTTTGGCTGACGCAATATTCCAGCCCTATAACTGCGGTTTGTAAATAATTGGTTCTGGACCAGACAATCCAGTGATAAACAGCATAAGCATCGATCTACGCAACTGGGATACGATGTCATGTGTCAGCCAAGCCAGCGAGCCTGACCACCCGATCCCGTTAGCCTCCGCTTACGATAAGCATGGGTTACTGAAGACCAATTCTAACCCGGATCTTCAAGGACAATTACAACGATGTTAATAGTACCAACGTTATTGTACAGCTGGACACTGCTTATATATAACATTGCCACTGTATTTGTACTGTCATTGTATTTCCTTTGTTATGAGTTGTATTCTGTATGTATTTTATAATACAACTGTTAATCACTTCACATTTCTTTGTTGTGTATTGTTTTCCCAGCAAATTGTGTTAGTATGAAATCCGGGTTATTGTTTGGTTCAACTTGTGAATGAACACGTAAATATGCTATTATATGAAGCAGCGAGAATGACCACTCGATGCCGTTAGTCGCCTCTTACCTCAAGCATGGGTTGCTGAAGATCATCTTGTCTATAGAGGCTCATAAAATCGGGTTTTAACAACATGTTGTCAGGAATGTATTATATAATGTCATAATGGTTTTGAAGTTACTATTTTGTGATGCTTCTGGAGCCATAAAGTGAACAAAAATATTTCTTTATAATTGTGTCTGTTAAACGCTTGCACGAAATTTAAATGATTATTTTCCAAATTCATGCAATCACCAAACTTGGGGTAAAAAGATATCACCCGAAAATGGAATATCCCACGTATTTTTAATAGTATACCTTCCTGAAAGTAGCATACCATGCTCGACTAGTCTAATGCTATTTGTGAAGATTCCCGATTACACTTGGCTCCAGAAGCATCACAAAATAGTAACTTCCACACCATTATGACATTATATAATACATTCCTGACAACATATTGTTAAAACCCGATTTTATGAGTCTCCATAGACTCTTAACAGTCACAATTATAAAGAAATATTTTTGTTCACTTTATTACACTGATATTGTTCACTTTATTACACTGCTATATAAAAACAGTAAAAAATTCTGAACCAAATGTCCGTGTCTGTGGCTAAGTGTCTAACGAGGTATATTTTTTTTAGAAAGTATAATTACATGCACTATTTCTTGTGTAGCATGAACCTTTCAAAGCGAGATATCCTGAGTGAAACAAGACATTGATCTTTAGCTGCTGACACATGTGACAAATGAAAAACCTAGGAAGAACCTTTTATGTTTCATACATAATTAAACATTGTTTTCCATCGAGACCCAACTAAAGCATCGACTGTGACGGGAGTGAACTCCGTGATACGCTGGAACGTGATCCGACAACCTACAGTAATGTATCCAATAGTTCTGGTAGCTTACCCGAATGGCGTAAATCGACCTCAGGTGTACAAATAGTCCTTACAGCTTAAGGTAAAACTACACTTTAATAAGTATAGAGTTACGATAGATCGTAGCGTTACGAACGCTTGTGGAGCCGGACCCTTGTCTCCGTGTGAGACATCGCTTGAGTGAGATTTCATTAGCGATATTTCCATTTATTACCCACGTGGTCAACGTATGGGTAGTTGCACACTGATCTCGTACGTCACACGAGTGTCGTAACGACTTTACCTGAGATTCTAACGATTTGATTGGATAACCGATGACCTCTCAATTAGGTCACATTCTGACGTAACTATTTTTTCATTCATAACAAACACGCGAATTCATTCATTCTACAACTTAAATGCATTGTGGGAATGTAAACATTGCGATCGTTGCCGTGTCGCTGTTTAATTGTGAGTCGAACTGAGACATTATATCCGTCGAAAAACATAAACGTAAAGTTTCCACCAGTGATGTTAGCCGAATGAAACAACTGCAAACCAAGAAACGCGGTGCTACGGAGTAGTTTACTACAGGAGGCTGTGATGACAACTGACATGCATCGTGACGTCGGTTACCAAGGCACTGACGTCATTACAGTGTGACGTCATGCAAATATTGTACTACAGTACAAAACTCTTCCGCAACCTCTTTATGAAACCGGTTTCGGTTTGAAACCAAAATATGAACAAAAATACGCTATTTTGTCAATTTAATGCATGTAAAACGTGGGTAATAAATAAATACCACACTCGGTCTCATTACATACGAATTATACGAAACGAGTGTCCTTCCTATGGTCACTCTCCTACCCAGAGTTCCATATGTTAAGTCATCGCCGTGCCGGAGTGTGTCCTATGGTATCTGACCGAGCGAAAGCGAGGTCAGATAACATAGGAAGGTCACGTGTTTCGTATAATTCGTATGTAATGCGACCTCGTGTTGTATTCTCTATAGAGATAACACAATGCTTTACGGACCACTCTGTCGTCATCGACACTATGACGTAACATTCAAACGTTATCTGCCACGAAAGCTGGGTCAAGGTCTAAGCTGGGCCCCGTCTCGCATAGCGCTAGCTTTGGCGCAAGGTGGCGCGCGCAAAGGGAGCCGGGAACCAGCTTAAGTCTCGATCCATACGACATTCGTAAACCTATGATAATAATAATAGTGTGTCCATTTATATAGCGCCAAACTCCACACAAGGTATGCTCATAGCGCTAACAATCAAGGCACAGCACATTATTACCCCGGATAACCCAAGCTGCCTGTTAGGCGCTAGAAGGTTATAGTCATATGACTTTTTCCACCGGGTACCCATTTTCCTGCTGGGTGAGCAGAGACAATTTTGAACAAACGCACTTGCCTAAGGTGAGACCACATGTGTCACAAGTGCTTCGTTGTGGGGCAGGACTCAAGTCCTAAAAACTCTCAGGAGTCAAGCTGCCAAACACGGTCACCCATCCAAGGACTCTCCGAGCTCGACGCTGCTTAACTTCACCGATTTGTGACCTGAGCTTTGAGCACAGGACCACGCGCCGCCACTATAGTCACGACAGGTCGTAACCTTACGAGTGCTTTGTGGACTGGGACCCTAGTTAGAAGTATCACATTTAGCTATTGCCGTCATTCCTTGATGAAATAGGAGCTATGCTAGCGCCATCTGGTGGGAGACTGGCACAATAGCTGTCTGTTTTCTACATTCAACACAGAGGTTGTTATTATTTACAAGCTGAACAAGTTCAAAGAACGACGCTGTACGATTAATAAACTGAGGATATTCCATGCGTCTAGTGAAATAATATATGATGCATCTGTCATCGAGTGACGTAACATCATATTTCACAGATACATGAAATATTTTAATTATTATAATTTAATTTAAACATTATTAATCCGAGAATATTTGAAATACGAAATCCAATTTCTCCGAGCTGTAAAGACAGGTCTCTTGTTTGTTCAGGCTCATAGACTAGATATAGCTCGGTATTCGAAAATGTTTTATAAATCGTGACAAATCAGCAATTAAAACAACATCCATCAAACGATCCTTTTGGTCTAAGCGTGTGTTGTGACCTTAAATGTACAATGGGCTTAAGTGTAGAATAGTCATAAATATACATGACTATTCTACACTTAAGCCCATTCTACATTTAAGGTCACAACAAGCGTGAACGTCATAACTCCATCGGTGCTGGCGGACGAATACATTAGAACCACAAACATGGGGCAAACAAAATAGAAAGAGCATGATTGAGAAAAACATCTGCTATTTACAATGTCAATAAGCTGTAACAGGCGCCCTCTGAGTGTATCTACAGAAGTCATTCTGCCTGTCAAAGTGTCTATCTGCAAATGGACCAAAATGTACAGAACGTCTATCCTGTCTATCACTTCTACCATAAGCAGACCCTTGCTGAAAATCCAGCATTGCTTCATTCACAGATGATGTAATACCCCTTATCTCACTATTACCGGCTTGTGTACTAACACTTGGGAGTGGATGAAATGAACCAATGTTTTCAACTGAACGACAAACATTAGGTGTAGAGGTTGCAAACCCGCTTGACCTAAATCTGACAAGTCAATAAGAGCATGGTTCAGATTATCTGGAAGGGACTCAACCTGATCATGTGCCATGGAATATAAATCATGTGTCTCCTCTGATGCCATTATGTCTGACAAGAGATGCTGCAAAACCAAGAACTTTTCAATTCTACCTTCTAAATATACACAACACATAACACTATAACACTATTCTATTCCACCCAACAACCCATTTCTAACATATAAATTATCCAAACTCCTACAAAGCATAAAGACACGAAATGTCCGCTATCGATCGAGTGAAATAAGGGCGCTTGTATATGCATTGTCAGTTTTGAATGCTGGCAACACGTTACTCAAGTGTTTCAACAGAGGTAAACTTCCACGAGCGGGGCGTGGACTCGACATCACACAGCGAGCGACAGTCACTCACAGTCTCACTCGCTCAGTGCTGATGGCAATCAACTGGTTGCTGCAGGTTTTCCGCACTGAAGGATGGGTTGGTATTCCGATTCCCAAGGTTGCTGACCAAATCACATTTTTACCTGACTTTAATTCTAACATATTTATTTATTATCAGGTATCCTTTCATAATTCAAATTAATTTAGTCAATCTTAGACCGTCCTCAACTCTCAGCTTTGCTGTTTAAAGACAAATGTAATTTATCCACCAGTTCAAAGCCCAAAATTGCTCATTCTAGCCGACTCTAATATTAGCTGACATTGTGACACTGAACATAACTAGAAACACTGCTTTTACGATAGGTCTGAGTGAGTGAGTGAGTAATTATTTAACGTCACATTGGCAATATTTCAGCCATATCGTGACGAGAACATATTTGATTTTGAAGTGGAATATATGTATAATATAAAAACCTGTCGACGAAGGACAGTAAAACAACTAGAATATCACAATTAGAATTAAAACTAGCGTGGAAAGTTTAAAACTAATAACACTATAGGGACAATACAATATAAAAACAGGCACGATAGGTCTGAAAAGCTTTAAGCACTAACTGTGCCGTATCTATAAAACCTCTGACACATCATATCTTTAATTACAGTAAAAGAAACAACCATATTATTATTTCTTGCAGATTCTTAAATGTCTTCTAGAACTGCTGCCTTTCCAATGTTGCATAACTTATCGGCTGCACCGCAAGAAGCCAAATTTCTACATTTAAAGTACAAAAATAGTTTCATATGTTTGCTGTGGATCAGCCGGGAAACTGGGACGGATTTTGTTTCACTGAGATGTGTTTACAGCCTCATGTCAATCCAATTTACAAAAAGGAAATTTACACACAAGAACCCAATATTTTCAATATGACAGCATTTGCAGACCAGTTAAAAGTGAAAATGACTCTAGGCTAAGAGAACACTGTCTCACATTCACTCACAATCATGGAACTATTCCTTGCAATCATGAATCTATAATGAAGGAGCTGTTTCGTGGGTGTTGGTCTGACATCACTTGGAACCGTTCTAGTTACAGTTCTAGCAAGTCAGCTCACCATGGAGGACCACTTGGAACCGTTCTAGTTACAGTTCTAGCAAGTCAGCTCACCATGGAGGAACACTTGGAACCGTTCTAGTTACAGTTCTAGCAAGTCAGCTCACCATGGAGGACCACTTGGAACCGTTCTACTTACAGTTCTAGCAAGTCAGCTCACCATGGAGGACCACGTGGAACCGTTCTAGTTACAGTTCTAGCAAGTCAGCTCACCATGGAGGAACACTTGGAACCGTTCTAGTTACAGTTCTAGCAAGTCAGCTCACCATGGAGGACCACTTGGAACCGTTCTAGTTACAGTTCTAGCAAGTCAGCTCACCATGGAGGAACACTTGGAACCGTTCTAGTTACAGTTCTAGCAAGTCAGCTCACCATGGAGGACCACTTGGAACCGTTCTAGTTACAGTTCTAGCAAGTCAGCTCACCATGGAGGAACACTTGGATGAGATGTAGGTCCGAGCCATTCACTACTTCGGTAACACCCCCTGGAATGGTGCTGACACACATAGAACCATAATCAGGGTCAACTAGATCTGTACCCATTGTAGGTTCCTGGCATATGCAAGGGAGACAACTGTGCACTGCAAATTGTGCTGCCTTTCAGCAACTGTCCATCCATGTTGATGTCCCCCATACTTCTGTGTGTATTGGAAGAGTTGTCTGCCCTTTGACCTATATATTCCACCACTTATTATTCACACGTTTTAACATGGTGTTTATCCAATGGACAGAGTTGGATCAATTTGTCTCAACCCTGCATCCAAAACCCAGGATGATTTCTTAATATATTATTTTGTTGGTGACTAATTAATTCCATTCAAAGAACCAATTTTTGTAAATAATTTGTGACTGATATGTGATTTCCTCAAATCATAACAAAATGTTACAATTAACATTTCCACATGGTCGCTTCAATGTGAAAAGCCTCGTTCTTGACTTACGCAGAGCAAATTCCCAAATATCTATTTTTTTTCTATTGAAAAACTTAACATCCCTGCATACTCTCCATTTTACTGTTTTCAGAATATCATCTGCTCTGTGTAAGTCATGGAATAGACGCTAATGTTGTTTATTTATGACGTTGTTGCTGCTGTCGCCACTTCCTATACGGCTGATCCATAACCCTGTGGTCTCCTGGTGTCGGTGTTGTCGTCGTCGTAGCTGCGTTGGCTGGCTCTGCTGTCGTCCAGGTTGTCGTCCATAGCAGGGTTAGCCTGGCCGCGGTTGTTGTAGTAGTTATGTGGGTTACGCTCCTGAGGCTCGTCCATGGCGTTGTTTTCACGTCCCTTCGTCCGGTTCGGCTGGAATGAATGAATTCAAATGCATTATAGAAACAATATCATAAGACCCTTTACTTTTCATCAGTTGGTTTCAAAATCCAAATCATAACAATCAACGTTTTGGATCAGTTTTGTTTTTGAATTTAAAATTCTAGTCTAGTGCTTCTTCTTAAGATTCAAAAACAAAGTTGTAACTCGTACACCACAGTGTGAGTGAGTGAGTATTGTTTAGCAATATTCCAGTAATATCTTCACACACTGCGACCACATGAACAATCAGTTTTAGGACTGACAAGCTAATGCTCTAAGCACGAGGCCACTCCCAAAACATTTACATAATCTGATTCAGACTAGGATGTGAACCAAACTGTGATTTCTGACAATGCTCTAAGCACGAGGCCACTCCCAAAACATTAACATAATCTGATTCAGACTAGGATGTGAACCAAACTGTGATTTCTGACAATGCTCTAACCACGAGGCCACTCCCAAAACATTTACATAATCTGATTCAGACTAGGATGTGAACCAAACTGTGATTTCTGACAATGCTCTAACCACGAGGCCACTCCCAAAACATTTACATAATCTGATTCAGACTAGATTGTAAACCAAATTGTGATTTCTGACAATGCTCTAACCACGAGGCCACTCCCAAAACATTTACATAATCTGATTCAGACTAGGATGTGAACGAAACTGTGATTTCTGACAATGCTCTAACCACGAGGCCACTCCCAAAACATTTACATAATCTGATTCAGACTAGGTTGTGAACCAAATTGTGATTTCTGACAATGCTCTAAGCACGAGGCCGCTCCCAAAACATTTACATAATCTGATTCAGACTAGGTTGTGAACCAAATTGTGATTTCTGACAATGCTCTAAGCACGAGGCCACTCCCAAAACATTAACATAATCTGATTCAGACTAGGATGTGAACCAAACTGTGATTTCTGACAATGCTCTAACCACGAGGCCACTCCCAAAACATTTACATAATCTGATTCAGACTAGGATGTGAACCAAACTGTGATTTCTGACAATGCTCTAACCACGAGGCCACTCCCAAAACATTTACATAATCTGATTCAGACTAGGTTGTAAACCAAATTGTGATTTCTGACAATGCTCTAACCACGAGGCCACTCCCAAAACATTTACATAATCTGATTCAGACTAGGATGTGAACGAAACTGTGATTTCTGACAATGCTCTAACCACGAGGCCACTCCCAAAACATTTACATAATCTGATTCAGACTAGGTTGTGAACCAAATTGTGATTTCTGACAATGCTCTAAGCACGAGGCCGCTCCCAAAACATTTACATAATCTGATTCAGACTAGGTTGTGAACCAAATTGTGATTTCTGACAATGCTCTAACCACGAGGCCACTCCCAAAACATTTACATAATCTGATTCAGACTAGGTTGTGAACCAAATTGTGATTTCTGACAATGCTCTAAGCACGAGGCCGCTCCCAAAACATTTACATAATCTGATTCAGACTAGGATGTGAACCAAATTGTGATTTCTGACAATGCTCTAACCACGAGGCCACTCCCAAAACATTTACATAATCTGATTCAGACTAGGTTGTGAACCAAATTGTGATTTCTGACAATGCTCTAACCACGAGGCCACTCCCAAAACATTTACATAATCTGATTCAGACTAGGATGTGAACCAAATTGTGATTTCTGACAATGCTCTAACCACGAGGCCACTCCCAAAACATTTACATAATCTGATTCAGACTAAGTTGCGAACCAAATTGTGATTTCTGACAAAAAACAAAAGGTTGTACATGCTGTGAATATTGCAGTAACCATTGTAACTACAACTCTGTCATGTGTAAGCTACAATATCATAATGTTTCTGACAGCAGTTTGTACTTCCCTGAGTATTACTTCCATCGTCATACTTCCTTCATCTCGGCTGTTTAAAAGACTGACTACAGTCCGTTTATCATTTACTAATACCCAACAGCATTCTTACATTTGAAAATTTTCCGGACTCCACCAAAAAAGTTGTTTAAGAAACTGTCATCATTGAATACGCAAAAGTTCTTATCTGTCGCGGCGGGGTGAAACCACAGAAACGGACTGTAATCAATAACAATTAAGTATTTTGTTCATTCCTGGTATAAGTTAATCTGTCAATCTCAATCTAGGTTACCAAATGTTGGTACCAACATTATCCTGGTGGCAGGTTGACTTACAAAGGTGAATCAAGAATTGTAAGATTGTAGGTGTTACATTCAATTTAATTAGTTAAGTTAGTTTAACAGTCTGAAATGCCTATCATGACAGCTTGTACATACTAGTTCCAGGCCAGACACACTAGAGATAGAAAACCAGGGCTCCAGATAATTTTTCAACATCAGGAGTATGTACTCCTTATTTGTTCAAAATTGAGTACTGGAAAACCTTAAGTGTACATTTAGAGTACTGAATGGAAGCTAATGGACTATCAGTAATCTTGTGTTTCGTTTCATATATGCACCACAACATTGCTACTCTTGTGTAAACAGGTCAATAAACAATAAAACAATACTTTTATTCAGATAAATACGTCTGTAAATGATTCTTAGACCGTACACCATTGCTGTGGTGCGTATCTGCTACGTTTTCTAAATTATTTCCTACCGTATCGTGCATATTTTTTATCCGTACATACGCCGATACGGCCCTTATCTGGAGCCCTAGACTTACATACGCCGATACGGCCCTTATCTGGAGCCCTGGACTTACATACGCCGATACGGCCCTTATCTGGAGCCCTGGACTTACATCCGCCGATACGGCCCTTATCTGGAGCCCTAGACTTACATACGCCGATACGGCCCTTATCTGGAGCCCTGGACTTACATACGCCGATACGGCCCTTATCTGGAGCCCTGGACTTACATACGCCGATACGGCCCTTATCTGGAGCCCTGGACTTACATACGCCGATACGGCCCTTATCTGGAGCCCTAGACTTACATACGCCGATACGGCCCTTATCTGGAGCCCTGGACTTACATACGCCGATACGGCCCTTATCTGGAGCCCTGGACTTACATACGCCGATACGGCCCTTATCTGGAGCCCTAGACTTACATACGCCGATACGGCCCTTATCTGGAGCCCTAGACTTACATACGCCGATACGGCCCTTATCTGGAGCCCTGGACTTACATACGCCGATACGGCCCTTATCTGGAGCCCTGGACTTACATACGCCGATACGGCCCTTATCTGGAGCCCTAGACACATACGCCGATACGGCCTTTATCTGGAGCCCTGGACTTACATACGCCGATACGGCCCTTATCTGGAGCCCTAGACTTACATACGCCGATACGGCCCTTATCTGGAGCCCTAGACTTACATACGCCGATACGGCCCTTATCTGGAGCCCTGGACTTACATACGCCGATACGGCCCTTATCTGGAGCCCTGGACTTACATACGCCGATACGGCCCTTATCTGGAGCCCTAGACTTACATACGCCGATACGGCCCTTATCTGGAGCCCTGGACTTACATACGCCGATACGGCCCTTATCTGGAGCCCTGGACTTACATACGCCGATACGGCCCTTATCTGGAGCCCTGGACTTACATACGCCGATACGGCCCTTATCTTAAGCCCTGGACTTACATACGCCGATACGGCCCTTATCTGGAGCCCTAGACTTACATACGCCGATACGGCCCTTATCTGGAGCCCTGGACTTACATACGCCGATACGGCCCTTATCTGTAGCCCTGGACTTACATACGCCGATACGGCCCTTATCTGGAGCCCTGGACTTACATACGCCGATACGGCCCTTATCTGCAGCCCTAGACTTACATACGCCGATACGGCCCTTATCTGGAGCCCTAGAAAACAATTGCAGAAGTCAACACATCAGTATTCCAACCAGGGTGCAAAGTACAGCGGCCTCACTGATAACATAGACAGTTGTAGTGAGTGAGTGAGTGAGTGAGTGAGTTTAGCTTTATGCTGCTATTAGCAATATTCCAGCAAAATCTTGGCGGGGACACCATGTCCTTCACACATTGCACCCATGTTGGGAATCATTTTACTGTCTAAATGGATAACTCTGGTGGACTCTTCTGGGCCAAAGGTAAGGGAAGTAACTCTGAGGGATGGATATGACTAAAACTAACAGTGTTTACATTACACTAGAGACTTGGGAAGAGGACCTACATTTCTAGGTTTCTGGCATCCTGAAGGTAAGCAATTCTGCACAATTAGTTGTGCCTCAGACCCGAGCCCCTCATTTGTGTACAATCCCCGACCTCTGTCCCATGGGGTACGACCCTGTACATCCCTCAGTGACTCAGGTAACTTACAATATTTATAATACTTAGGGATCATTAAAAAATTAAGGCCTTGATTTTTCAGAAGAATGTATAATGTGAATGCCCCCAAAATATGAACAAAGTAAGAGATCCCCTGCATCTCATGTACAAAATTGATGACCCCCATGTGTGTACAAAATTTATGACAAACCCTCTCCCAAGGACAAAATGCTCTTCTCCATACCACCCCCTCCTTATAATTTATCATCACCACCCCTAGCCATTTTCAGTGGTGTTAATCAGCATGTTTATAGCCTTTGTTAAACACAGCACAAGATGCAACTCTTGCCACACAAAGCCATGTTAATGGAGTTTGATCAGAAAGCCTGGCTATGTATGGCTCAATGGAAGATATAGGTGGGATGTTTGATATTTTGGCTGATAACTTCATACTATTATTGCTGCAGTACGTCAAATGAAGCCCATGCTATTTCAAAAGCTTCTTTTCTGCATGTTTTGTACACTTACCAAGGGAGATAACTCATATATTTACCCACAGGAAAGATTTTGATACCAGTAAACATCATGAGAATGGAATCTACATGGCCATTGTTAATAAGCACAATCCACAGGTAAGGAAAATGTGGGTGATTGTGTATGAATCTCATTTATACCAGTGTACATGTCATGATGTGTGTGAAATCTCATTTATACCAGTGTACATGTCATGATGTGTGTGAAATCTCATTTATACCAGTGTACATGTCATGATGTGTATGAATCTCATTTATACCAGTGTACATGTCATGATGTGTGTGAAATCTCATTTATACCAGTGTACATGTCATGATGTGTGTGAAATCTCATTTATACCACTGTACATGTCATGATGTGTGTGAAATCTCATTTATACCAGTGTACATGTCATGATGTGTGTGAAATCTCATTTATACCAGTGTACATGTCATGATGTGTATGAATCTCATTTATACCAGTGTACATGTCATGATGTGTGTGAAATCTCATTTATACCAGTGTACATGTCATGATGTGTGTGAAATCTCATTTATACCACTGTACATGTCATGATGTGTGTGAAATCTCATTTATACCACTGTACATGTCATGATGTGTGTGAAATCTCATTTATACCAGTGTACATGTCATGATGTGTGTGAAATCTCATTTATACCACTGTACATGTCATGATGTGTGTGAAATCTCATTTATATCACTGTACATGTCATGATGTGTGTGAAATCTCATTTATACCAGTGTACATGTCATGATGTGTGTGAAATCTCATTTATACCAGTGTACATGTCATGATGTGTATGAATCTCATTTATACCAGTGTACATGTCATGATGTGTGTGAAATCTCATTTATACCAGTGTACATGTCATGATGTGTGTGAAATCTCATTTATACCACTGTACATGTCATGATGTGTGTGAAATCTCATTTATACCACTGTACATGTCATGATGTGTGTGAAATCTCATTTATATCACTGTACATGTCATGATGTGTATGAATCTCATTTATACCACTGTACATGTCATGATGTGTGTGAATCTCATTTATACCACTGTACAAAGCACCTGATACAATTTATATAGGTGAAAATGGTTTTACGCCTCATTTACCAGTATCCAGCTACATCACCATCAGGGACTTCCCAGAAATGGGTTTTCACACATTGTAGCAGTGTGGGAACTGACCTTCAACTATAAAGGGCCAGATTTCACACCCAACATGTGCCTTTCTCTTACGAACCATAAACTACTGACTGACTGACTTAGTTTGGTTTTACGCCGCTTTTAGCAATATTCCAGCAACATCACGGCCGGGGACACCAGAAATGGGCTTCACACATTGTACCCATGTGGGGATTCGAACCCGGGTCTTCGGCGCTTTAACCTTTAGGCTACCCCACCGCCCCGAACCATGAACTAAGTGACTGCTAGAAGTTTCCCAACAAAAATACGCTTCCCGCCTCAAGTTATCTCCACTTACAAGGTAACAATGGTATTTCAAGAAGAAACACTGTTTATACAGGAAATATATGTCAAATTTATTTACAAAACAGATGTTGTATACAAGGGTAAACCAGTATGTACAATACTTGTCAGAAACAACTAAATATACGGAATGTGTATAGTCCATTCCATTGTACAGCGTTCATGCTGTGGAAACATGCATCCAATACAAAATATTTGCTCAATATCTTGTGACCTTCGTAAGCAGTTTAAGGCACCAACCAGAAAAGATAGTCAAATCAAAATTCAAATTAGCCTCCAAAGTCAAACTGTTTTAAATGACACGGACAATCATCTTCCACACATTAATTAAAACTTTCAACGGTCTTATTATTATATTTATACATATATACTGAGGGACAAAAAATAAGGGATCACATGAAAGCACCAGTGTTTCTTTATTTCATCCAATCTTTCTTCACAAGCGTTGTATCGCACAGCTTGTGGAGAAACCTGGAAACGAATATTGGAACACTTGTGCTTTCATGTGGTCCTTTATTTTTTTTCTCTCAGTATATTATTATTAGAAAACTGAATTAAGGGCCGTGCAACAAATTGATCTTAGTATCACGCTATGCTAAGATAACTGATCTATATAAGCTTCACAAGCAAGGAAGTTGTCAATGACTCAAATTGTTTCCTGTTTGATTGAAACTGAGGTGTTTGTCTCAGCCAATCAGTGATCATGTGAGTTCAAATATGGGATTTGAACCCTTAGGTTACAGTAGAACAGCTATAACAAGATGGTGTATTGAGACAAAAAGATGGCAAGCAAATGCAAACATGAACTAACAAACACTGCTCTGTATATTTGGCACATTCTTGTAGGTAACTAGATTGGGTTTATACACGCCAGATCAATCTGATCTCTTGTAAACAGTGAACACAATATAATATGCATTAATCATGATGTCCTGTACTACCTATGGAATCATTCTCGTAATTATAACCTATCTTTTATGTTGTAATTAAATAAACAAATTATGTCATAAGTGTCCATTAGTTAACTCATTTTCTGTAGCGCCTTCAGGATGTACCAGTAGGTGGATAATGGCGCGCTAAACATATCCATTATTATTATTATGATCATGTAACTCATCCTCAGTCATCTTGGTTATCATAAAGAGTGAGTGAGTGAGTAAGTTTAGTTTTATGCCCTTTCAGCAATATTTCCAGTAATATCACGGCAGGGGACACCAGAAATGGGCTTCACACATTGTGTCCATGTGCTTTAACCACTAGTCTACCCCACCATCCCTATTATAATGACACAAGATGATAGAAGTGTAAATAGACACACTGAGATTACAACCAATCTGAACACAAATTTGACACAGATCTACGGTCCACATAGTGGCTTTTTCAAGGGTGTACCCAGTGTATTTAATCATCAGACTGACTGAGTTTGTGTTTTACGCCGCTTTTAGCAATATTCCAGCAACATCACGGCGGGGGATACCAGAAATAGGCGTCACACATTGTGCCCATGTGGGGAATCGAACCCGGGTCTTCGGCGTGATGAGCCAACGCCTTAACCACTAGACTACCCCACCGCCCAATTTAATCATCAGAAAAATGTTGTAAAGTTTACTTGGAAAAAAACATTTTTTGAGTATTGAGGAAGAGGACTGAGCTCTGTGCAATAAGCCGATCTGGTTGTATTTGAGAAAACATGCAAATCAAATCAAGTTCTGGTGGTTTCGCTGCATGCTTCAATCATTACTACTAAGTGTAAATTATTTGAATATCTTCCGACCATACTCCAAACGAAACTATGGTAGTGAATGAGTGCCTAGTATGGAGATACCAACCACCCAATAATTAACAAGTTTTTAGCCGGTCAGAGAAATATTTAAACAAAAAATGTTGTTGGTCTGGCCTGATAAACAAAATCAAACAATCATAATAAACCAGATCGATCAGTTACTATGGTTACTATCTGGGATAAATTAATCAGAGACTTGTTATTGAAACTGCTTAGTTTCTGCGGATCGTAACATGGGAGTTATATACAAGGGAGGTAATAGGCGTGTAAAGCTACCACTCAGATACTATGTACCTGTAATTCGGGAATATATTATTTAATAATATATAACGGCTTGTCACAAGCCATCTACACAAACAGGTTCTATAACACTGAGTTTTGCAGTCTGAATGATATACTAGATTAGAGATTATGAAAGTGTGTGAGTGAGTGTGTGTATGTGTGTGCACGCGTGTATTAGTATGAAGGTGTGAGGGCACCTGTGAATGTGTGAGAGAGAGAGAGTGAGGGTGTGAAAGAGTGTGTAGGAGAGAGAGAGTGTGGGGGGAGAGGGAGGGAGTGTGTGTATGTGTAGGCGGGGGAGAGAGAGAGGGGGGGAGTGTGTGTGTGTGTGTGTGTGTGTGTGTGTGTGTGTGTGTGTGTGTGTGTGTGTGAGACAGAGAGAGTATGTGTAAACGTGTGTGTGAAGATTCCATTTCTAGCACTCTTTTAATCAGTTGGAACCCACAAATTGGGATTCATTACAAGAAACAAAGAATTATACAGACCAAAGCCTCCTTCCACAAAGTGATCCTAGCTGTCTCAACCATAATGCTAACAAATGTACTACAAGCACAGTACAAAACATGACTTGCATCGGTTACTTGCTCTCGCTATCCTTTAAGGATCGGGTTTTTTTTGTACTATCATGTCGTTTATGGCAAAATATATCATACCTAACATTTATTACCATGTGGAAATATCAGGCCATAAAGAGTTTTGCAAAGGTAAAGTCAAGGTGAAATCAAGGTGAAAACTTCAAACTCACCCAAACTGGACAACACATCTGTTGAGCCCCTCTGATTACTAAATTTCACTTCATTTTGAACTGAAATGGATCAGATATGTCCAGAAACATTTTAAGCCTGCCATACTGAAAAGCAGATCTGAACCTCTTAAAGTATTGATGTCATAATTAATATTAACAATTGAGTTTCATTGGGTGGTGTTTTCGTGGAGATGATGTTTATGCTAGACTCACACAGGGCCTTATTCTACAATGCAATCTTAGCTCTACGACTATCGTAACCGGTGTTAAAGCATGGGAGTTACGTTTACTTTAGCCCTACGACTATCGTAAACCGGTGTTAAAGCATGGGAGTTACAATCACCTTAGCCCTACGACTATCGTAAACCGGTGTTAAAACATGGGAGCTACAATCACCTTAGCCCTACGACTATCGTAAACCGATGTTAAAGCATGGGAGTTTCAATCACCTTAGCCCTACGACTATCGTAAACCGATGTTAAAGCATGGGAGTTACAATCACCTTAGCGCTAAACCCGCTTTGTGGAACAGGGCCTAGGACATAGCTATAGGCTCACTTAGCTTTCAGCCACGTGAGCTAAATACAGTAATTCGGAAGCTTTATTGCAAGAAGTAGCACAAGTTTCTACATCTAGTTTCTAGATTTGTTCCTAGCTTGAAGCACAACTCACTACAGCACACGTTTGATGTATTATGGTAGAAACTATGCTATTCAACTTCTGATAAGGATTTTCCCATTATGAGAATAAATAATCCCCCTCTCACAGTTCAACCACGTCAATTTAGTCCTTTTCTCATTTTGAGTGAGTGAGTGAATGAGTTTAGTTTTACACCGCAATCAGCAATATTCCAGCTATATGGCGACGGTTTTCATCTTGAGATCCTGATGAGAACATCTTTAGTGTTTAACAGTTTCTGACTCATTTTTGCATTATTTGGGTAACGTCACATTTACACAGTATACCCACGTGGGGAATTCAAACTCAGGGCTCCTGTGTGACAAGTGAACACCTTAACCAGTATAGTACCCGACCTCTTATTGTCGGAAGAAATGATTCCACAGCTGTTTAACTGATTACGTATAGTGATTCACGGACTATGGTTGAGCAAGTTTAGCGCGGCTATTAACAGTATTCTGGTTGTATTACGGCATGTGATGGAAGTCTCAAATGTTTTTAAACATTGGCGCAACTTGAAAGCACAGGTATTGTTCTGACAAATCAAGAAAAGGGATGAATCGGGGCCAGGGTCATAGGTTTCTGGCATGCTGAAGGGAAGTAACGCTTTACAGAATGTTGCAGCACCTTAGAGTGAGTGAGTGATTTTAGTTTTACGCCACTTTTAGCAATTTTCCAGCAATATCGTGGCAGGGGATACCAGAAACGGGTTTCACACATTTTACCCATGTGGGGAATTAACCCAGGTCTTCGGTGTGATGAGCAAACGCTTTACCCACTAGGCTACCCCACTGCCCACAGCTCCTCAGACAATTGGGCCACATGTGCCGCTCACTTGTTCAGAACAAACAGATCCCCACCATCTTTCAGTATCCCTATCAAAAGTTGAACGGAGTATTATGTATGAACATATTTCTGATTCCTGATTTAACTCCTGAGACAAGCACAAGTTACGACGTCCTAGTTTGATTGCAACACATTGTTCGATGTAGGCAGCCTCCATGTCAAATGCCATAGACTTGAAATGAAAATAAAATGGGTTCATATAAAAAATATCAACCCTAATTCAGGTAACAGGTTACCTGTCTTGGGTTGCAACTACAAATTCGGTAATATTCATACATCAAACATCATACATGAAAACAATTGTCAGGTAATTCAAACCCAATCCCACAACTGACGATGTTTTATGTGACAAAAAGACTCAGAAATCTTTCGAGTGATCTTGCAAAATTTCATGCAAATCTGGTGTACCAGAGAAAGGCGAGTACCTATCATAGAGTGTGCGATCAAATTACGGGAAACCTGTCCCAAACATGTCCTGAACAAGACGAGAAGATGGCAAATGTGACTTACGTGAACACGCTGAAGTAAAGGTCTCATAAACCATTTGACAAAAGATACATTTACATTTTTGATGCACTCATAATCTGATCACAAAGTATACAAATATCAACATTTCAAGGCAGTTGCTTTCAGCAAATTGTTTTGTTCACATCTATAGCAGACGAAGGGCAGAAATACTTACAGATTAACGATTGTGAAATCTGGGTTGCTGTTTAGAGAGAAATTGCAATCTGTTTATTCGGTGGTATGGGTCATATCTTGGAGGTCGTACCTTATGATGAGTTCATTCACAGCAGGAAGTGATATTTAACACCATTATTTGGTCGGCAATATGATTTCAACTTACCAAAATTGGCGTTGTTTGGTTTTGAAATTATATTTATGCAGAAATTGTAAGTATGTACATACAGTTAATTCTTTCTCCTGCTTTGGTTTTGATGGTATTCATTTTTTAAGCAAACACCTTGCACCAGCCAATGTGAAACGCCTCATAGGATGAACAGATTTTCTGCGTGGTCTTTTTCAGCGTTTTAAAGAAAGTAGTAAGATTCCAGTTTTAGTTATCACTCTCTTGACGGTATAGGACTCGAAATAACAGTTTATAGTGGAAGTACACAAGTCAGCCTCATTAACACTATATTTACACATCGTTAATGACAAAGAAATCTGGCTCTCTTGTTAAATAATATGTTTAGGCTTCTAAGAACTTTGATTTGTCAAATATTTTCAGGGAACTCTATTTCCATAATTTTGGGATTTCCCAATACTAAGCTATTGATGGAAGCACGCAATCATGTAAATCAGTGAATCTGGGTAGTCATTAACATAATGAGACACGGAGGCATGTTAGAAACCTGAATATTTTATACAAAATATAAGAAACTCATGTAGCATATCTTAACAAAGATACCATAAAAATAACATACAAAACATGAAATACAAAAATCTCATCAAAAGTCATCATATCAAATTTTATCGAATCAAATATTTTCAAATTTTATCACGTCATAAAAATTGTAAATACTCCTGGTAGGCATGATAGAACATGACAACCAAACTAACATCTGAAATACCACCAATCAAGTGATTGACGTCATGAGCAACGTTCAATACCGTCAGTGTACATGACACCATTCAACGCAGCATTTCTTGAACTCTCATTAGGAGTGAGTGAGTGGGTTTAGTTTTATGCCATTCAATTTATACAAAAATATGTCAGTGTCCACTCTACAAAATAGTTTACTAAGCAAGGCGATTGTTTTGTATTGTGATAAATATTCATTTCATTCAAAAATATTTAAAACTAAATCCATCACTTTATACCAAAAATAATATAAATTCCTGACAATTAGCCTATATGCCAATATGTAGGAGCAACACTTGTGCAACTATTAATATACAGGCGCCATAACTGTCTTAAATCTAGGTATAAGGATCATCTTAAAACTCTTGCATTCAAAATGTCCATGTGAAAGTATAAGAGAATTCAAAGTCTTGGTGCTAGGAACATTCTGTGCAAACAGGTCCTGGAATGTTTCGTATTCCAAAAGGGGAATAGCTCTTCCAAATAGACAACATGGAGAAACGACTTTTGGGTGGACGTCAATGTACAATGGTTTTTTATCACAGAACGTGTTCAAAACAGACGAATCGATGCATATTCGGTTGGAGCATCTTTTTGTCTGGCACGTGGTTCTCCTTTCTCGGGTAGTCTAGCAAGGTCAAGGTCGGCATAATGTAGGCCGTCTACGTTAGCATTTCGATCTTTTTTGTCATCGTCTTCCTGCCCAGACGAGGTGAGGTGGCAGAATTTAAAAGATTGTCATAATTTCCATGCCATGTCAATGTGGGCTTATTATTCGAAAGTTTTTGTTTAGAGGTCAAGGTCAAAAGGTGAGAGTGAAAATGACATTGAATTCTGCCACCTGTTACCTGTGTCCAGGAATATGTCAATGTGACATGACCTTTGTCAATGAAATAAAGGTCAGCATGACATTTGTCACTATCACAAAGGTCACTGGCCATGACCTTCAGGCTGCTGTGACCATGACCTTTGGGTCATTTGACCTGTAATGACCTGTAATGACCTGTAAGTCTTGATATTCATACAAGCAACCAGAACCATTTAGAAAAGGTCTAAAAATAAACAGTTATTCAAAAGAAACCCATTTTTTTCCTGAATTAGAATTGACAATTTAGTTTCAATATTATGTTATGTCTTTAAATGGCCAATTCATCCTTATCTATCCGTAATGTGCAAAGGTAGCAAAATTCATCATAAAAAACATTTCGCTATTTTTAGTATGATGCAAAAAATATATTAGTTCCACATAAAATGTTCACTTTACATTTTCGCTAATGAGAATAAAGAAATGACCTCAGTGATGATATTCTGAATGCATAAACATAACAGGGCCTACCTATTATGATAATAATAATAAAAACATTCCTGAACCTTATGAATTTTAATTATAATTTATTATTAAAAATGTTTGCAGTTTAGGAAAAAGAATCTATGTAATTGTGATAGGCTAGCAGGCACAGATGGACTAAGGTTTTACTCTTTTAGTCATTTTCTACAAGCATACTATTTTGTTGAATTATCACACTATCTCATTCCTGATCAGATCTCAGACAATAATACGTTCGGTCTCTCAGTATGATAATAATTATTTAATGAAGTTACCAAAACTGAGATTTAGGAAATATGTATATCATGGAATGGATGGTGTCATCAATGTGATAAACGGATCTGTAAGCTTGCTATCTCTATGTGTTAAATATGCAAATTGAGTCAGCAAGCCGGAACTACTTTTAGGCTCCATACATGGAGGCAATGTCAGTGTTAACCATGAAAGATTGCATGACGTAAGTTTTGATGTGAGGGTGTTTCCAGGCAATCATGTCTCCAGATCATTAGGCACCTTATGTTCAATGGGACTGTTCACTCAAATGGAATGGGGTTTCCAAAATTACTTCGTTGAGTGAAATATTTTCTTTTACATTGATAACTTAAAGTTTTACATTATATGAGAAACAAAATTATACCCTAGTACAAATTCGTAGGTTATATTTGTAATTATGTTCTCAAAGGTACTCACCCGTTGCTAATAGCTGGCCGGAGTGATGTACACAACATTGGGAGTCATTTCCGGCCTTTCACTGTGAACAAGAAAATGTTGAATGAATTCAGTTACTGCAACAATATTTTCAAGAGACACAGACCTATCTATGCCTGGATTGTCTGTGTCCCAAAACACAAAACATAAATATAGCAGCATACACTCAGGATTCAGGTGTCATATCTATTCAACTGATAATTGGACAGAACAAGTGTGTCAGTTTGATGTCAAGGTGAGAGAGTTTGGTTTTACGCCGCTTTTAGCAATATTCCAGCAACATCACGGCGGGGGACACCAGAAATGGGCTTCACACATTGTACCCTTGAGGGGAATCGAACCCGGGTCTTCGGTGTGACGTGCCAACGCTTTACCCACTTGGCTACCCCACCGCCCCTTGATGTCAAGGTATGACATCTAGCATACTGTTGACAAAACAAAGATTTCAGTTTGATGTGTGGTTTCAATACTGTTGACAAAACAAAGATTTTAGTTTGATGTGTGGTTTCAATACTATTGACAAAACAAAGATTTCAGTTTGATGTGTGGTTTCAATACTGTTGACAAAATAAAGGTGTCAGTTTGATGTGTGGTTTCAATACTGTTGACAAAATAAAGGTGTCAGCTTGATGTGTGGTTTCAATATTGTTGACAAAATATAGGTGTCAGTTTGATGTGTGGTTTCGATACTGTTGACAAAATAAAGGTGTCAGTTTTATGTGTGGTTTCGATATTGTTGATGTGTTGACAAAACAGATGCGTTCAATGCAGTCAGCATTGTACAACTGTGTACCATGATACAAGTATCCAATGAGCAATTCTGTATCAACACAGTATCATTTGATTGCACACAGGATTAGTCAATTAGCAAGCATGCACACAATTATTTCAGGTTCGAAGAAGCGAGTAGAAAGTCAGCATTGATACGACATTATTAAATCTCTGTACAGTGTATATTCATGACTCAGCAATCTAAATTATTCATACAGATGGGATGTCTTTTTGTACCACAAAGCTCTATTTCAGCAACTTGTAGTATCAGTTTCAAGAGACATACTGACATATACTTACGACAGTCTTAGAGCTAAGGTGATCGTAAGTTCCATACCTTAACACAGACTTACGACAGTCTTAGAGCTAAGGTGATCGTAAGTCCCATACCTTAACACAGACTTACGACAGTCTTAGAGCTAAGGTGATCGTAAGTCCCATACCTTAACACAGACTTACGACAGTCTTAGAAGTAAGGTGATCGTAAGTCCCATACCTTAACACAGACTTACAACAGTCTTAGAGCTTACGCGACAGTCTTAGAGCTAAGGTGATCGTAAGTCCCATACCTTAACACAGACTTACGACAGTCTTAGAGGTAAGGTGATCGTAAGCCCCATACCTTAACACAGATTTACGACAGTCTTAGAGCTAAGGTGATCGTAAGTCCCATACCTTAACACAGATTTACGAAAGTCTTAGAGCTAAGGTGATCGTAAGTCCCATACCTTAACACAGACTTACGACAGTCTTAGAGCTAAGGTGATCGTAAGTCCCATATCTTAACACAGACTTACGACAGTCTTAGAGCTAAGATGATCGTAAGTCCCATACCTTAACACAGACTTACGACAGTCTTAGAGGTAAGGTGATCGTAAGTCCCATACCTTAACACAGACTTACGACAGTCTTAGAGCTAAGGTGATCGTAAGTCCCATACCTTAACACAGACTTACGACAGTCTTAGAACTAAGGTGATCGTAAGTCCCATACCTTAACACAGACTTACGACAGTCTTAGAGCTTGTTTGTAGTTTGTACCATGGCACCACTACTACTCTAGTAGCCTGTTACAACTAAAGTACTGTCGGAAATAGAAAAAACCTGTGTTTAGGCTGTTACTCTGTATCCCTAAAATTTACACAACTGCAAATGGCATATGTCGAAATAACCCACTTCGGCCTAACTTGGCATTCAGTGGGATGCGCAATAGGATATCAAGAAAAGCCTTTTTACTCGTAAAATCGGGCAAAACTGCTGAAAACAATAGATCAGACTATAGATGGCAATTAGGTCGCTTAGCCAGTTATGACGGACCATCGACTCACCTGGCATGAAATGCATGTGCTGCCTACAGGCACAAGGGGTCATCTCAAAGATATTTTGTGTTTTTTTCATGTGTGTTGACTATGCCTCATCTATTGATTAACATCTTACGTGTCTTTCTTTCATGAAGTTTATGTTGAGATGTAAAAGAGTATGATACCTGATAACCATAGAAACGCATCGTATTAAATGTCTCAAAATATATAGGTGGCATGACCACCCGATCGCGAAGATCAACAAGACTGGATATTACTTGTAAATTATTATGACATGCCGTGTACTACCCAAGTATAATTGCCCTAAAGGATTATCTTATCTTAGCTGATATCTTTACCCCCCAGCCCGACCCCAACGATCGTCTGTGACACCCGTCCAGGTTTTGCTTTTGAGACAAACCCTCCTATCTGTTTCTCTTTATAGTAACAGTGAGACTCCATGGTAGCTACATCCTTAATAGTTTCAGTATTAAAGTTATTATTATTTACGCCAGCTATCGTTTCTAATGAAGCTACGTCTAATTTCAAATTGGGCATTTAAAAAGTGTCTTTGTAATACAATATCGTCGCACACTAACTTGCATAAAGCCATGGTCTGTTCCAAAGAAAGCGTTTTGGAAACCGCATTGCTCATTTCTGCACTAATCTCTCCTCAGTAAAGTCCTTTTTCTACGTTTCCTATCTCCCTACCACTGAGACTGTAGTTAGGCCGAACTTAGTTTAACAGATATTTCACACTTGCACATATCAACTACATAAATTGTAGAGATAAATGAGAAAATACAGTTTTTTTCTATTTCCAACAGTACTTTAGTATAGGTTCCTGAATACCTTTTATTATCCAGATGCCCCACATGATCACATAGATGACACCATCCCTTCCATGATATACATATTTCCTAAATGGTTACAGAGGGGATCTGCTTGTCCAGTCCTTGTATCATCCAGTGTATTTCTGTTATTTCTGTAATTTCAGACAGAGCTTCAGCCCTTCAAGTGTAGCATAACTGGATAGCATCATGCTCGTCAACTAAGAGATAATATGTACCACAAAAGAACAGCTATAATACCCTTGATAATAAGGGATGCCTCAGAATTTGCCCTCTACAATATTCCAGCTGTGTAACACTGGTCTGAACCAGACAATCCAGTGATGTGAAACTGTGAGCAGTAGTTCTGTTATGATTAAATCACCTAATCAGTGAATTAAACCGTCTCCCTTCATGAATGCAACTAGTTATCCGTGGTCAATAAAATCTAACATTTACGAATATTTTTAAGAGAGTGTTTTAACTTGGAACAAGTTTGTTGTTTATCTAAATGAGATACACAGTAGCGTAACTTGTGTTAATTTTCCAAGGCCCGTTACAGCATTGTTCACAATGTATTTATTTTTTGCTTTACAGAAAATGTTTCAACAAAAGCAATTACATGACGTTTTAGTTTAATTTCTTTATATCAACCATGAGGTACTGATGAATAATGTAATTTTTAAAGTAAAATTGATATTTTATACTTATCCTGACTCATGATCTTTTGCTTAGCTCCCTTTCCCTTGCGAATGGTAGTGGAACACTTGAATCCCTTGTAGTTCCCGAAGCGGACGTAAAAATACACTCACCCACGAGCTACCTCCCTTCTTTCCCGCACAAACAGTCATGTGACCAGCCTTACTTGTCACTTTCTCCTGATTTTGCCCATGCACCCGGATATACTGTGAAATCCGAAGTGTTTCCAGCGGGGAGGTTGGGAGGGCTTCTCCTCATGAGTCAGGATAAGTATAACATATCAATTTTACTTAAAAAATTACATATTTTTCCTTATCCTGACTTATGATCTTTTGCTTATAGAATCCTACGGATTGGTGGTGGGTCAAGCCACTTCCTGGATTCAACAGCTGTCCATAGATATGTCCTGTATCCCTGTAATCACTCATGCTAGCCTAGTCTAGACTGTGCGCATGGACTTTCAAACTAGAACTTTCTCCATAGTAAAAGTTATCAACAAGTCAACGTGATAAAGGGTGAGATTTCAACTCAGCGCCTTTGAGGAACCGTTAGTTGTTGTGCTACAACAAGAGGCCCAAACTGGTGAATGCCGGAGACGTCTTCGGTGGCTATGGTTGGCAAACACCGTATCTGACTTCCAGAAGCAGCCCTCCATGATCGATGATATAGAGCAATTTCCATGCAGAGCCAGTGTTGATGCGAGTGCTCTGACTTCATGTGGGTTGGAGGCTCTTGGAGGCTCTAATCCTGCTGCTTTGTAGGCTCTTAGTATAACGGCTCTCATCCAAAACGATATTGTCGTTCTTGAGACTTCCACTGCTGTCTCCGTCGACAAGGGGATGAATAGGCGCTTGAATTTTCTTCTCCTTGTTTTAGTCTTTTGAAGATATATCTTCAAGGCTCTGACAGGACACAAGGATAAGCCCTGGGTGTCCCGTGGTCCGAGGATTGCAGATGGCACTGGCACATGGAACTGTCTATCTGGTTGACCAGGTAGTTGATTCTTTGCAATAAAGTCCCATCTAAGTCCTAGATGTACTGCAGGACAGTGCCCCGTGTCAAATCTAGTTCGTCCAAAGTCCAGCGCATGTATCTCAGACATACGAGCTGCCATGGCTAGGGCAAGCAGGAACAGGGTTTCTGCGTGAGTAGCTCGAAGGTATTCTGCTCTAGAGGTTTGTACGCATCGCTCATGAGATGACGTAGAACAACATTCAGATCCCAGGCTGGTGCTCTGAATTTCTTTTGCTGGTCCTCCAGTTTAAAAGATCGCAGCAGAGCTAGTAATTCTGGTATTTTCGTCAATTTGATACCTGACTTCATAGTGATGACTGTACTAATGGCTGCCAGATATGTAGATAATGTCGAACCTTTCAGATGTCTTGTATATCTAAGGTGACATAGATATTCCGCCACTTGAGGATGAGACGCTTTCATAGCTGTGAAGCCTTTCTGCCTTGCATATTGCTCAAATTTCTGCCATTTGTCGTCATACAAATTGCGAGTAGATCTGCGTAACGCTAGGGTTACTGCTTTCGCTGCTCTGGCGGAGTATCCTCTTTTCTTCAGACAGGTTTTGATACGGTCCACACATGTAGCTGGAACAGTGTTGGGTTCCTGTGGACTTGCTTGGTGTGCGGATGTCTGAGTAGGTTCGGCCATTCTGGTTGTTTGAGGATTGGACTTCCGAGATCTTCTATTAGGTCTAGGAACCATACTCTCGCTGGCCAATAGGGCGCGACCAAGGTCAGTTGTAGCGCTTGTGTCTGTTTGATCTTCAACAGTACTTTCGGTAGTAAGATCGGAGATGGAAACGCGTAAGCGTTTAGTGTATGAGAGCTGTGGGATGTAGATCTGGAACGGCTGGCTCTTGGGGATGGATTCCTAGACGTTCTCGAACGTTGAGGGTTCGCAGACAAAGTTGTCGTAGAGTTCGTAGCCTTCGCGGACCTTCCATCCTGTTGTATGATGACAGAATTGTCCGATTGTGATGACCAACGTCGTCTGCATATGTAGATCTGTGAGGCGTACTGGGTTCGCGTAGGTCAGAGGGTTTGCGAACGTTGTCAGTTGATGAACGTTGCTGTCGTGCCTTCGCTTCCTCATCAAAACGTCGTTCCATCATGGCCATCATTTGAGTAGTAAATTGCCTCATAAAGTCGCCTGGATCGAAGTTCTGCATAGACTGGAACTGATTCGGCGTTGATGAAGCGTTGGCGAACGCTGATGTGTTATGTGCTTCAACTTCACTGTGTTGAGAAGTTGGTGATTGGTCGTCAAACAGCTGGGCCACTGTGGTAGTAGCAGGAGACGATCTAGTAGTCGTGGAGGTCGAATGTGTCGCCGATCAAATAGGTACTTCAGACAGAAGTAACGGTGGTTCATCAAACGCGTCTGCCTCAAGCGGTAGAATAATGTCCTCATAAAAAGGACCTCTGATGAGTTGACTTGCTAGGTCGTGTAGATTTCGATGTAGACCTAGTTATGGATGCCCTTTTCTGCGTTGTGGATGAAGCAGTTGTCTTTTTCTTGCTCTGAGAGGGCGTCAACTCTGTCGTAGCAGACCTCTTTTTCGACCCCGTACCAGACGACTGCCCCTGCAACGTACTCAACATAGCATCAGAATTATGTATTTCTGCAGTAGCAAACAACCTACGGGTACCGGCTTCATCTCCAGGTTTAACAACCGTGACTTGTGATGACTTCCTCACCCGGTCCATGGCACATCTATAGATACAGTGAGACCTCGGATATCCGGACATATTCGCTTTTACGTAAATCGTCCGGATAATTGAATATCCGGATATCTGGATTTTTGGTTTTCATACACCTCAAGGAAAATCCAAAATGTTTATGATCATCAAGCGTTTATTGTACATGTATAGACATTCAAAAACAGCATCACAACATAACAATCATACCTTTACAATTATTCAGTTTTGAAAAGTCTTTCATTGAGGACTGCTTACACTGGCTGCCGCTCCTTTGCAACACGACGGACAACATTTTGTCCAGGTTTTCACGGTCGCCATTGTTCTCAAAGTAGCTGAGTAGGCCTTCGTAATATTATTAAAGCTTACTTTGGGATTTTGTTCTTTGTAAAGACATATCTCTTTCTTTTCCTTGGCTGTCACTGCGTAGAACTCAATGGTTAACTCGGTGTCAGCTAGTCCTTCTAATCACCACCAATACCTTCATGATCATTAATCCGGATTAGCCGACCATGTCTCGTGTCAAAACACGTGGCACTCTCGCACTTCCCTTCACACGGTTAGCGGTAGATCAAAGCTTCGTGAGGATAGGTGAGTCAATTTTGTGTTGATTTAGCCGGATTGTTTGTAAAATGTACCGTCCGGAAACCGAATATCCGTTATAGACAGTCACTTTTATAACGTAAGAGATTGGTTTTTACTAAAAATTGACCGGAAGGCGAGGTTTCGGGATATCTGGGGTCCGAGACAAATATTGATTACATTGCTAATTTGATAAATCACTGCAATATGTACAACGTGAGATGGAACAAGGTGTAATGCACGATGGACATTGGGGGTGAGGATCAGCCACAGATAGCCGGTGCCTGCAAACAATGCAAGATTTCATGAAATGTAAACACGTTACATTATGATGAAAAAGTGTAACAAATTACGAAAATTTCTTCAAATTTTATACAACTAATGCATTATAGTTATAGCCAAATACCATACACAGCGTAATTTTGATAAGTAGGATCTAAATATAAAGGATATCTGCCGTAAACGGGACTCCAGTGCTCGCCCAACCATCCGCATGGGCGAAAAGGGAGAGAGTGACAAGTAAGGCTGGTCACATGACTGTTTGCGCGGGAAAGAAGGGAGGTAACTTGTGGGTGAGTGTATTTTTACGTCCACTTCCGGAACTACAAGGGATTCAAGTGTTCCACTACCATTCGCAGGGGAAAGGGAGCTAAGCAAAAGATCATGAGTCAGGATAAGGAAAAATAATATTTGTATTTGTTAATCTACATTTGTAAAACATATCGTATTCGCCTCATAGTGCATTCGCTGCAGCCCTGGTAAGAACATCTCACCCCATAAAGGTACTCTGACACAGAGCTAACAAAGTCACCAAGGCTTGACGACCTGTTCCAAAAGTCACCACTTAAGATGAGCAAGGCAAACAGAAGTTTGAAACGCGGAGAGAAGACTGGGATGACAATGAGTATGAGTGAGGAAAATGAGCCGGGGGTCTTGGGGGACGTAGATCCATGAAAGACCCCAGCACGATCAAATCCGCAGAAAATTCTCATCCCTGAGTAAAGATGTTTGGGATGTCCAGCATTTTGTGAGCTGAACTGTTGGCCAACAGACACATTATCCATGATCAAACTTTCAAAATGGACTCCAGTGATGGACAGCATGAGAAACGACTCCCAGAAATATGAACCTATCCTCGTTTGTACGCAATCAGCGCTTGTGAAGGGAGAGAAGCAGCATGAGACACGACTCCTAGAAATATGAACCTATCCTTGTTTGTACGCAATCAGCGTTTGTGAAGGGAGAGCAGCAGCAAGAGGAATTGAAGAAAAGTTTGCGCGGCCAAAGAGAGAAAAAGGTAGGTCTATCTGAAGCCACATCTTATTGCAGGTAAACATGCTCGAAGGAATTTGCAAATTGACGCTGGCAAAGTTTATGGATTAATACTTAAGCTCACTTATTACATGCTGATTCGACTGATGACGTAAATTACTGAAAACACAAAAAAACACATCTATAAATCTTGAAAAAGACACTGCCGACAGAACATCTTTTCATTACCTTTCAAGAACTTTGACGTTAGCTTTATAATTCCCATATGATCCTTACGAGCATGATCAACCTGACCTTTGCCACCCAGACTCTTCACTAATAATTAGGTCTTGACAGGGGGAATTGTTCATTTGTACAGTGTCTGATGATCTTTTTCCTTGGCACAAAGTTTTTTTGGTTTAGTAGGGCCAGAACATGCTTAATTGGCTTAAAGGGCAGAGCGTAAACAATTCTTTGGGGTGAAGTACGACATTTACAGCACATTTTGTCCTCTCTATTTGGTGTTTGCAGAAATCTCAGTGTACTAATTACAATCTACAACTGCTTTTGGGTTATTGGTCATTTTTGCTCACCCTCCCAATAATTAATTTAATGTAATACTTGTTCATGGTCCATCCCACTCCCATTAATAAGAATTCCCTAAATAATGTTTGAATTTCGAACTTTTATATTTGAAAATAGAGAACAATAATTTCTTCATGGCCCCCTACCTCTCAAAACTTGTGACAAATTAGGAACATTTTCCCCTCCATCTCACCTAAAACACCAGTCCCTATTTTAGTATCCATACTTACTCTCGTCCATCCTCTTCCTTTGTTTCATCTGAAAATGGAAATTACAGATATATTTTAGGCAACTGATATTTAGGGTAAAACGAGTAAAGATTTAAGAAACGCTGCACAATTTATCTTCGTTTACAAAAACATTTACACATAAGATGAAGCAGCACAATTTCTAGATTACAGTGAGTGAGTTTAGTTTTACGCCACTTTTAGCAATATTCCAGCAATATCACAGCGGGTGACACGGGAAATGGGCTTCACACAATGTACCCATGTGGGGTATCCAACCCGGGTCTTCAGCGTGACGAGCGAACGCTTTAACCACTAAGCTACCCCACCGCCCCTCTGTATTACAGACTTTGCATAGAATATGTAGACAGAGGCCCAGATAAGCTGCGTATCCGGGTAAAATACACATAGAAAATTTCCAATTAGGCATTGAAAAATAATTGTTGCGTACCAATTACGCATTTAAAATGTTAGATACGCAAAGAGTTTAAAACAAATGCGTACGGAATATATTTATAAAAATCACTTGCGTAATGAAAAAGACATCGATTGGTATCAAGTTGTACTGTTAGTATAGGACAAGTGTTGTACTGTCAGTATAGGATGAGTGATTTATTTATGAAATCATTTCCATTATATTTAAGTTGGTTTTGATTAGGTATGACATGAGGCAGAACATACCTGCTTAGTAAACTTACTCAATGACATAATACTTAGGTGAGTAAAATGGCGGAAATACGCACTTTTTTGAAAGCAGTGGGTAACGGAAAAAGAAAAACCCATTCAACATTCATAATACCCACTCCAAAAAAATACAGTGGGTACAGTACCCACATGAGCTAAATCTTATCTGGAGCTCTGTGTAGACATAAAAAAAATACAATGCTCCCCTATCATTGCTTATTTAATCACATTATACTGTAGTATTGTTACAGATTCCAAACAATATATAAATACAGCGTATTTAACCGAAATGCAAAAATCTGTGTATAATTTACATACAATGATGTGAAGCCATCTGTGAGTAATAGCAAGTTGTGAGGAAAATCCAATGGTATACTCACAATGTTCACCACCACTTTTCTTCTTGCGCATGACGACGATGACAACGACGATGACAACGATGACAACCAGGATAGCTACCACGATACCAGCGATCATGCCACCATCCACTCCAGCATCTGAAACAAGGGGACCCACGTTCACCCAACTGATATATACAACCTATCATCAGCTGTTGAATGTTCCTTAACAGTGTATACTGACTGACTGAGTATGGTTTTAAGCCGTTTCAGCAATATTCCAGCAATATCACAGCGGGAGACGCAAAGTATCCATTATACCCATGAGGGGGAATCGACCCGGGCCTTCAAAGAAATGAGTGGACACTTTAACCACTAGGCTACCCCACCGCCCCTTAACAGAGTATAGACCCTGGTCCCATCCTGCATGTCTACATGAGAAAAATTAATTGGCAAAGAATCGGTTACAAGTCTGTTTGTTTCATGACGCACTCAGTAATATTCCAGCTTTATGATGGCGTTCTGTTAATAATCGAGTTTGGACCAGACAATCTAGTGATTGACATTATAAGAATCGATTATTCCAACTGAGAAACGATGACATGGCAACAAAGTCAGGGAGCCTGGAAACCGATCCCTTTAGTCTTACAACCAGCATGGGTTCCTGAAGGCAAATTCCTAACCAGGTTTATACCACTTTTAAGAAAAGTCCATTAACAGCATGTCACAAATACAAGAAATGGCTTTACACATTTTAATTTTAGCTAGTTACTTTACTTCATTATATGCATTGTACAAATGGATGGGATAAAAAATAAATAAATTGTATCATCCGTCAGTTCTTTTTTTTGAAACTTCATTCATTTTATGTGCACTGATATTAAAACTTTCTTGCAAAACTCACCGCCTGTATTTGTTTGACCTGGAAATATAAGAACATGGTTGTAGCAGTTTGTAAATACTGACACATCACCAGAATTATCATTTAAAAAAATTATAGAATAAAAAATGGGTTCCAACAATTTACATTTTGGCGAAACATTTTCCTAAGAAAAAATTAAACGTATGTTAATGCTAAAGAAACTGCATAAACATAATATAGCTGGAACAACTTCTGTTGGAAATTATAACTGAGGATAATACGTCCCTTGGAAAGAATTTCTATGAGAGTACGTAGTAGTTACTTCATTCTAATACGAGAGCTTGATCCAAATACAATACATGCTCTGGTCGCTGGTGACCAATCGACCAATCAACAGTGACCAGGCTGTGTTATATTTGTACCAAGCTCGAGTGACTGGATGAAGTAACTACAATGTACCATGCAAACAATCTGAATTCAAATTTCAAAATCTGCCAGGGATGTATGATTTTAAAATCATTCTGTTTGAGACTGCCTCCATGTTCATTCGCAAGTGGGATAATATTATAGATGACATTACACTGTCACAAATGGTAGATGAAATTGTAGGTGCTAAACTCTGGGATGACACAATCGATGACATCACCCTCTCACAAGTAATGGAAACTGAAGCTACCGACACAGTTATCTGTGTTGAAGACGGGTGAATGTGCAACACTTCCTGAACTGTCAAACAACACTCATGTAGGTTCTAAGCAGATACGACCTGGATATGTACAGTCCAACTCATGGGAACTTCAAGTTCAATGCTGACATGTTTGACGACAAAGTCGTCATTATTTTCATTAAAAGAGTCAAACAAATGTTGGTTGTCTTTTTAGAAAGTTTACATCCATTTGAGACAGATAGTTATGGTTGTTAAACATAGGTGTGGCTAAAATTGCAATGAGCTACATTTTGTATTCAGAGAGTTGCTGTGGGAGGCAGCTAAAAACTGTGGTGTACCTATATAATACACCACGGCTGAGATCAAAGTGGCCGCAGTCGGGGCATGGTACGTAATATCCCAACACCATACGAGCTGTGAATATGATACACTGCACTCAGAATCAAGCTGTATTCCTCTCTCATGTAAATGGCATTATCCACCTATATAATAATAATAATAAATAAATAAATGTGCATTTATAATGCGCGCAATCCAGACAGATATGCCTGCTCATGGCGCTACAATGGGATTGTATAAAGATAAAAGTCAGGGAGTGTTGACTGGATTTAAATGTCACTGTGATACTTGGAGAACATACGGGTCTTTAGTCTTGATTTGAATTTCTCAAAGGTTGGACACAGTTTCAACTCTGATGGAAGTGAGTTCCAGAGGATAGGGGCAGTGCTGGAGAAGGATCTGGAGCCAAATGTCTTGAGTCGATATTTAGGAACTTGGAGGAGATTTTGGTCACTTGATCGGAGTTTACGTGCTGGAGTGTGTGGAGTCAAGAGTTCAGATAGATAGTCAGGGCTGGTGTTGTGGAGGCATCGATATGTGATACCGAGAAGCTTGAACTCTATTCTAGCTTTTACTGGCAACCAGTGGAGGTCTCTGAGCACTGGTGTCATGTGCACATGTCTTGGTGTTCTTGTGATGACCCGTGCTACAGAATTTTGCAGCACCTGTAGCTTAGATAGCAGTTTACCACTGATGCCCTGAAGCAAACTGTTGCAGTAATCTAGTCTTGATGTTATTAGACCATGGGCGAGTACCTTTGCAGCTTCTGCGGTTATTAAGTGTCGAATGTTGCTGATGGATCGGAGATGATAATAACAGGTTCTACTGATGTGGGTAACCTGTTTCTCCATGGAGAGGTGTGAGTCCAGAAATACTCCCAGATCTTTAAGGTGGTCACTGAGAACTATTTCCGTGTCCGCTATCAGAATGGATTGTTCTTCTACTCTGGCCAACTGTTGCTTAGTGCCAATCAGCATCACCTCTGTTTTTTCTTCGTTCAGTTTCAGCTTATTTGCTGTCATCCATGACTTTGTTGTTGTCGTACAATCAGATATGCGTTGGAAGGAAACCTGAAGGTTATTGAGTTTGAATTTGTCCATCATTTGTGTATCGTCAGCATATCCATGGTGAAGAAGCTTGAAGTGTTGGATGATGTTAGCCAGATTTGCCGTGTACAGCGTAAAGAGTATCGGACCTAAAACAGATCCTTGTGGAACACCACAGTGTAGTTTGACGAAATCGGATTTTTCATTGCCGATGATGACTGCTTGTCTACGATCTTCCAAGTAGGATGAAAACCACTTTGTATATGTATATATATACTACAGTCCGTTTGGCTCAAAAGCGGACCGATGAATTGCAATCTAACTCGAAAACTAATAAACATAACATACTCAATGAAACGCTGATCATAATCAAAACATCATACCCACTCTGTGAAGTTTGTGCAGATTTTTTGTCCTAAAAATAATAAAGTTGTTTAACAAACTATCATTAAAATATTGACACAGTTCACTGTTTGTTACGAGGGAGGAGTGCAGAGAAAGGGACAGCCAGGTGTTCGAGAAGCACGTTCACAGACAAAGTTATTTATTCATTAACCTGTGCTGTGCCGTCTCCATCCGTTCTCGAACTCCTGGCTGTCCCTGAGTTAGATTGCAATTCATCGGTCCGCTTTCGAGCCAAACAGACTATAAAGGATGTCCACATTCAGGGAAGTGAGTGAGTGAGTACGGTTTTCCGCCACTTCAGATATTTCCAGCAATATCACGTCAGGGGACACCAGAAATGGGCTTCTCACACTGTACCCATGTGGGGAATCAAACTTGACTAGAGAATACTTTAACCACTGGGCTCCCCCTACTGCCTGAAGTAACATAAAAAAAACAACCATTGAGACAATGATATTTTGTAATGAGCATAAGGAATCTGAAAATGTTCTGAATGGGTTCTCACAAGCCTGTTCAAACAAGATGGCTTCAGTTTGATAAAAAAACTAATGCCAAAGTTGAGGATTACTGTACACATAAATGAATTGCTCACGACCAGAGTTTAAAAACTCTTAAAATAACAAAAACCTACTTGGAATACTATAGTTTTTTCAGACAGTAGATATTTTTAAGGAAAAATAGTAAATCACACCATACAAGCACATGATCTTATTAAAGCAAATATGGCAATGGCATCTATCAGTTTCAATGCTTTCATAGTGTCTTTAAACACGTAAATACTAACTGTGGTGTGGCATCACATCAGCTACCATTATCTACTAACCCTTGATACGACTTGATAACATCGTAACTACTTACAGAATTCATCAGGGATCAAACACCCAACCTCCAGCCCTCTAGGCAGACACATTATCTGCTGGACCACGGAGGATATGAAACATATACAATCAGGGGTGTACTGGTGCCAACTACTTACAGAACTCATCAGGGATCAAACACCCAACCTCCAGCCCTCTAGGCAGACACATTATCTGCTGGACCACGGAGGATATGAAACATATACAATCAGGGGTGTACTGGTGCCAACTACTTACAGAACTCATCAGGGATCAAACCCCCACCCTCCAGCCCTCTAGGTAGACACATTATCTGCTGGACCATGTAGGATATGAAACATATACAATCAGGGTTGTACTGGTGCCAACTACTTACAGAATTCATAAGGGATCAAACCCCCAACCTCCAGCCCTCTAGGCAGACACATTATCTGCTGGACCACGGAGGATATGAAACATATACAATCAGGAGTGGACTGGTGCCAACTACTTACAGAACTCATCAGGGATCAAACACCCAACCTCCAGCCCTCTAGGCAGACACATTATCTGCTGGACCATGGAGGATATGAAACATATACAATCAGGAGCTGACTGGTGCCAACTACTTACAAAATTCATCAGGGATCAAACACCCAACCTCCAGCCCTCTAGGCAGACACATTATCTGCTGGACCATGGAGGATATGAAACATATACAATCAGGGGTGTACTGGTGCCAACTACTTACAGAACTCATCAGGGATCAAACCCCCAACCTCCAGCCCTCTAGGAAGACACATTATCTGCTGGACCACGGAGGATATGAAACATATACAATCAGGGGTGTAATGGTGCCAACTACTTACATAATTCATAAGGGATCAAACCCCCAACCTCCAGCCCTCTAGGCAGACACATTATCTGCTGGACCATGGAGGATATGAAACATATACAATCAGGAGTGGACTGGTGCCAACTACTTACAGAACTCATAAGGGATCAAACACCCAACCTCCAGCCCTCTAGGCAGACACATTATCTGCTGGACCATGGAGGATATGAAACATATACAATCAGGGGTGTACTGGTGCCAACTACTTACAGAACTCATCAGGGATCAAACACCCAACCTCCAGCCCTCTAGGCAGACACATTATCTGCTGGACCACAGAGGATATGAAACATATACAATCAGGGGTGTAATGGTGCCAACTACTTACATAATTCATAAGGGATCAAACCCCCAACCTCCAGCCCTCTAGGCAGACACATTATCTGCTGGACCATGGAGGATATGAAACATATACAATCAGGAGTGGACTGGTGCCAACTACTTACAGAACTCATCAGGGATCAAACCCCCAACCTCCAGCCCACTAGGCAGACACATTATCTGCTGGACCACGGAGGATATGAAACATATACAATCAGGAGTGTACTGGTGCCAACTACTTACAGAACTCATCAGGGATCAAACCCCCAACCTCCAGCCCACTAGGCAGACACATTATCTGCTGGACCACAGAGGATATGAAACATATACAATCAGGAGTGGACTGGTGCCAACTACTTACAGAATTCATCAGCAGAAAACGTGATCTTGTCGTCGGGTTCTCCATTCGTCATGTGCATGGCGTACTCCAGCTTCAGACCCGCCACCTTCAACCCAACATGCATCTGTCACTGAGGGCAGTCATTGGGTATACAGTTCAGTACAAATTAATCGTAAACAATTAATGTAAATTAGTGTCCATATTCAATACTTAAAAAATGAGTGAGTGAGTTTAGTTTTCCCTGCTTTTAGCAATATTTTAACAATATCACGGCAGGGGACACCAGAAATGGGCTTCACACATTTTACCCATATGGGGAATCGAACCCCGGTCTTCAGCGTGATGAGTGAACGCTTTACCCACTAGGCTACCCCACCGGCCCCAAAGACATATAAACAAACAAACTCAGTACTTTACCATAATCATGCTAAAATATCATTAACTAGTATCTACCTAAATGTAATGAGGCAACATAACCATATTTGCAAAGCACAAATTTCAGTAATAAAGAAAACAGAAGACAGACTGATGATCCACATTCGCATATAGATGAATTCACATTTTAGATTCGACGAGACAGTTTGTTTGTTATTCATGTGTTATACTGGCTACACCCTTAAAAATCTCCAGGGAATATGTTCCGATATATCCCACTCCACTCAGAACGTACTACCTGGAGAGCTACACCCTTAAAAATCTCCAGGGAATATGTTCCGATATATCCCACTCCACTCAGAACGTACTACCTGGAGAGCTACACCATTAATAATCTCCAGGGAATATGTTCCGATATATCCCACTCCACTCAGAACGTACTACCTGGAGATTATCAAGGCTGTACTGGCTACTGGTTCAAGAAAGAATGGATGCCTATCCAAGTCATCTTGTTCCAGTTATTTACATGGTAAAGTTTCTGAACATTGTATAACAGAAAAACATGGACAGGCGGACAATAAGCGGACGGACAAAAAGACATCTTAAACTCACATGACAGGGGGATATAGTCAAATTACTATGGGCACTTGAAAATATGAGGTGAGGTGAGGTGAAATTGGGTTTAACGTTGTGCTTGAGAATATTTCGTCCATATGACGACGTGCATGCGTGTGTGTGTATGTGTATGTGTATGTGCGGCTGCTTGTACTAGCCCAGACTTTGGCTGGTTATATAGTGCTAGCCCACTGAGATACCATGCCGCAGTGAAGCATGAATACCCCACCCAGACACATTATACTGACTCCGAGCCGACCAGTCCTTGTTGTACCCATTAATGCCGAGCGTCAGGCAGGGACCAACAAGTACCACATTTTAACGTCTTTTGGTATGAGGCGGTCGGGGATTGAACCCGTGATTTTCCGCTCTCCAGGCGGACGCTCTAACCACTACACCACGGAGGCGGTTATGAAACAGGTCTACCTATTGCAAATAGAAAACATACAAATTGAACATTTTAGGGACTGATCATTCATTGATGGAAGGATGATTGTGAGTGAGTTTAGTTTTACGCCGCACTCAGCAATATACCAACTATATGGCGACAGTCTGTAAATAATCGAGTCTGGACCAGACAATCCAGTGATTAACAGCATGAACATCAATCTACGCAATTGGGATACGGTGACATGTGTCAACCAAGTCAGCTAGCCTGACCACCCGATCCCGTTAATCGCCTCTTTCGACAAGCATGGGTTACGAAGGTTCATTCTAACCCGGACCTTCACAGGTTGGATGAGTGCGAGAAAAAGGAACTGAAATGAGTGGACATTTGATTCTCAAATAACCTGTCAGTTATGCCCGGATTGCAAAATCTGCGTAATCAGAACTAGCCGCTGAAATCTATTCATACTGTATGCATCTTCAGCCAATCGATATCTCCTGTCAATAAGTTTGAACATATCAGCACAATCAGTCACATCAGAGTAAACACTACATGCACTCTCATGACACACAACTAGTCCGGGAGCACGATCCACAAAGTGTTCATAGCACTATGACATTCTTAAGCTCATGATAAACTGTATAGTTATGAGGGGAGGCTATCGAGGGGGGAAAAACTATTGCGATAGTGATAGTCTATTGCAACATACTATTGCGATGAACTATTGCAATACTATTTATTTTAGGAGCGATGATAATTTCCATGTCAAACAACAGTGGACATAGGTTGTTCAGGTTTCATTCCAGACGGTACATATCTGCGGATGGAGTTCATTTCAAACAGGACATGCAGAGTTTGCAGAGGTTTCATATGAGGTTGAACATATGTTTACAGAGATTTCATTCGAGATAAGGTATAAGTTTGCAGAGCTTTCATTTGAGATTGGACATAAGTTTGCAGACGTTTTTTAGACAGCAAGTTGCACAGGTTTCATTTCAATCAGCACATGTGTTCCCAGGGGTACTTTTTAGATAGGACAGGCATTCATGCAAGTTTCATTTCAGTTATGACATATGGTCGCAGGGGGTTCCCTTGAGACAGGACATGGATTTGCATAGGTTTCATTTGAATTAGGACAAATTTTGGCACAGGTTTCATATGGAACAGGAAAAATGACCGTGGGATCGATTTTGAGAAAGGACATATGTTCGCTGTTGTTTAATTTGAGATTTGAACACACCCTGAATATTATTCGTGAATGTGAACATTAAATATATCCCTGTCATACATAGAAGCAATAACTGACAATAATCCACAAACGATCACCTCATCGTTCAATACTCCACACACTTGTCTTCACTATGTTGTGGCGGAGTGTACACACGCCCTTCAGGTATTGGCAATAACAGGGTATACGTGTAGAGTGTTGTTATCTACCCAGGTATCTGGGACAGATATGTATCTTACTGTCTATGTAGGTATATAGAAGCACCTGCAGCCCTGAGGGGGTCGTAAATGTCCCGCATCAAAGCAACAGTTGAGTTGTATCTTATATGTTTACCAGGAAATGATGTGTGTAGAGACTTGATATACTACCCGGTTCCTCACGAGGGATTTGTCTGTCTGTCTGTCGGTCTGTCTGTCTGACTTATTGGAGCACTATTCATTTATACTATTTAATCAAGCATGGCTGTATTGGACAAGTAAACCTTTGGCAGTTTTGGTGGGGTTGGGTTGGGGGTTGTCGTAAATAATGGAAGTCTGCAACTTCATCCACTAGGCTTTAGTGAGTGAGTGAGTGAGTTTAGCTTTATGCCGCACTCAGCGATATATTCCAGCTATATGGCGGCGGTCTGTAAAATAATCGAGTCTGGACCAGACAATCCAGTGATCAACAGCATGAGCATCGATCTGCGCAATTGGGAACCGATGACATGTGTCAACCAAGACCGCGAGCCTGACCACACGATCCCGTTAGTCGCCCCTTACGACAAGCATAGTCGCCTTTTGTGGCAAGCGTGGGTTGCTGAAGACCTATTCTACCCCGGATCTTCACGGGTCCCACTAGGCTTGAGCCCTTGTTTAGTAGTCAAGTAAATGTCTTGATGTCCTAGATCAGCTTGTACAGAGCCATACAGTAAGTCAAATATTGACTAGAGCGGTGGGGTAGCCTAATGGCTAAAAGGCCTGCTTGTCATGCTGAAGACCCGGGTTCGATTCCCCACATGGGTACAGTGTGAAGTCTGTGTCCCCCGCTGTGATATTGCTGGAATATTGCTGAATGCAATATCATGGCAAGGGAGAAGAGAAATGGGCTTCCCATATAGGGTATACCAAGAAGGGAAATGAACCTGGCACTTTGACGTAACAAATTAACACTTTACCAACCAGGCTACCCCAAACAACTAAAAACTGCCTAATATAGTAGTATCAAGTCGCAAGAAGGGATAAAACAATTCATGACATGTTTACTGCACATCATCAGACCGAGACATGAGGATCATACTGATATCAGATGTTTTATATGTCAGTGTTAGTGTTAACGGAAAACCTGCGTGTTTCACGCAAATAAATCTACATTTTCTACCAGCATCTTCAGCACGCAAAACCTTTTGTGTTCTGGGAACAAGTAACTGCAAAACATATTTTGCCCAAGGACACAACAAAATAAATAAAGTTTCTCCCAGCTAATTTGACTTGCGAATGATGACAACATGCTCTAAAATGCGAGGAAATGACGTCTAAATTTCAAACTTTTACAGGGGGAACTGCGGTGCATGCACACAGAAGATTCTTGAGGATCTGCGTTTTAGGAACACAGAGCTTTTTTTCCTACCGCGAACGCTGTATGTGTGAGTATATCGCGTCATCACCGACTTGCGATACTGTGACATCAGTGAGTGAGTGAGTGAGTGAATAATGTTTTACGCCGCATATATTATATTTCAGCAACATCATGGTGGAGACACCAAAAATGGACTTTACCCATGTGGGGAATCGAACCCATGTTTTCGGTGTGATTAGCGAACACATTAACCACTGGGCTTCACCACTGCCCCTACCATTAGGTTACCCCAACGCTATTGTGTACTGTACAAACATTGATTCTATCTTTTCATCTGTAGGACAAATCAACGTGATCCATATTTCTCAGACCGAACTACAAACAAAAACAATGTTGTAATTCTGTGAAAGTTACGAAATGTGACAAAAACTGGAATCTTGTGTATTAAAAAAATCATTATTTTTGGCTTGTTTAATTCATTTAGCTTGAAAATTTTAAATGGGGCGTGAGCAAAATATGACTTATTCCAAAGGATAGTCTCAACAGCCCCCTCCGTTCCAGAATAAATTACCAATCTCGTAATAGTATGAATAGTGATACCAGAATAAGGCACCCTCTTAACAGGCCAGGTCAGGTAGCCTAGAGGTTAAAGCACTTGCTCGTCCCGCCGAAGACCCGGGTTCGATTCCCAACATGGTACAATGTGTGAAACCCATTTCTGATACCCCCTGTTGTGGTATTGCTGGAATATTGCTAAAAGGTGTAAAACCCAACCAACTCACTCTTGAAAAAAAGGCCTGAAAACGTGACAAACTGACTCGGCTTATATACAATTTGGGGCAGTGTTCACTCAATTTTTATTCTCAGCTTCCTGGTATGCACACATTTCTATTAGGCAATTTCATGATAAATTGTGGTCACCAAATATAGAACAGTCGAAAATACACCAAATCTGTCATATATATGGCTAGGTGCAATGTGAGACACGTAACTATGTGCTTGTCAAACAGTCGTCACTGCTAACGTACACACCTGGGGAGGTGAGAGTGTTGACACAGGTAATGTTGACAGTGTCTACGACATGTCTCAGGTATCAGGCATCGTGTCATTATGGCCATATGGCATGCCAGACTGACTGATTTCTTGGATGTTTTTGGCTTAGTCATCTGACTAAAAAACAGGGTTTAACTGTGCCAAGTCTTTTTTTGTGAAAGAAATTCTGAATGTCAGTTTTCTCTCTATTGCCCTACATAAAAGTTTGTCTGAATAAATATGATATCACTTCTGTCCTAAAAGATGAATGTATTTATCAACAGGAACATAGTGCACCAGGAGCAAGTCCGTAACAAAATTGGCCCAAACATTAGTTTGAAAAGCAATTTTGATTTTTCACTTGAGCTTTCAGGAAGTTTTTTAACCAAAAAAAATACCATATTCAAATATTTTTGCTTTTTGTTTCATGCTACATTAATCAATATTCCAACAACATAATGGCAGTCTCTAAATAATCAAGTCTGGGCCAGACAATCCAGTGATTCACATCATGAGCATCGACCTACACAGTTGGGATACGATGACATGTCAACCAAGTCAGCGAGCCTGACCACCCGATCTCGTTAGTTGTCTTACAAGAAGCATGGGCTGCCAGAGACCATTTCTAAACCATATCATCCAAAGAGAATGAGGGTTGGAGTTTGAGGGTAATTGTTGGGTGAAGGAGGCAAAAAGGCGTTATACAACAAGGAATAACAACTGGGTAGTGTGTGATTGCAATGGTGATTTATAAACACAGGTCCACTTACGTTTCCGTTGGACTTTCCACATCGTGCCACGGCGATGTACCACGATCGTTCTCGCATTGACCTGAAGGTTCGACTCCCGGTGCAGTTGTACCAGTTCTGGCCATCTCGCTGGGTGAAGTGGCAGCCGGAGTACCGAGACGTCAGGGTGTTACTGGTGTTTAGGGCGATAATCTGGTGATTCTGCGGATTCAATACTGACACTTTCGCGGTGCAGTTCTGAAAGGAAGAGACGTAACAGTAAGCAATCAGGGCTACCAGTCTGTATCCAAAATGTTTGATATTGCTGGCCTAAATATTTCATAATTGTTAATAGATTAATATTATCATATGGACACATATTCATCGTTGCTTATTAGACCAAACAGAAGTTTACAAAATTTGGGTTTCAGAGGCCGAAGTGAAAGACTTAACCCCATACTGAAACTATCATGGTAAAAACATGAAGTTAATTGGCATAAAATAATCATGTCATGCTATGGGTTGGCGTATTTTATTTATTGCCGAATCATTTCACTGAGGTATAGGTCAAGGCCAAGGTCATCAGTGACTAAAAAACACGACAGAGACCCAAATGAGATAACTGTGATGTTAGATTTTTGTGTCTCTGGACAGAGTGCCGATATTTTGGCATTTGTGCACTCGACACAATAAACAAGAAATTTGGTAAGCTATAAGTACAAATTCTGAGTCGGAGTTCTGACTAGGAATCGGAAAGTCACAATAAAATAAATTCAGGGCTCGATTTAGTACTTTGATACTTGCACTGGTGCAACCCAATATTACAAAGTGCAATATAGCTATTAACTGAACTTGCACCTGGTGCAACTCAATTTTTGAGTGGGTAAACTCTCAATGAAACATCTAAATAATTCAATACCATATTTCTTACATTACATATTGCAATAAAAGCAGTGCAACTGGAATATGGCTGGTGCAACTAGGTTTTTACCTTAGGTTGCACCTGGTGCAAGTAGGTTAACATCTCTTAAATCGAGTCCTGAATTAAAGCTGCTATAGTTGCTACCAATGTCAGGATTGAAGTTTGTCACCGAAGGCTCATGTCGTAGCTAATTCTGTTGTCTTGAAACTAGGAAGGGATTGTTTTTATGGATGTCAACTATTTATCATGAGGAACACAACATTATGGGGTATATCCTTCTAAATGTCATTCAAAGACTTAGGTCTTGAAATTAGTCTGTCTCACAGTCCCTGAACCACATTATTTTCCCTACAGCCTTGCCGACCCTGCAATGCTAAAGCCCTAAAAGAAGCAAGTCTAGATTTCTCCGGTTCTGAATCTCCCATCTCACTGGGGCTCCTTTTCAATTTATATGGGATTATTTGTTACTGTCAAAATTATATATATATTCAGAGACTAAGCATAAGTCTATCTTGAAATAAGTGTATCGTTTTAAAGAGATATCTAAAGTGATCATTGTTAAATTCATCTTGAAACAACTTGGTGTGTTGATCCTGTTGCATCCTTTCATCTGTATAGTGCTGGGGCGGTGGGGTGGCCCAGTGGTTTAAGTGTTTGCTCGTCACACCGAAGACCCGGGTTCGATTCCCGACATGGGTACAATGTGTGAAGCCCATTTCTGGTGATCCGGCTGTGATATTGCTGGAATATTGCTAAATGCGGCGTTAAACCAAACTCACTCACTCACTCTGTATAGTGCTAAATGCTAAGACCCTGTCAGTTACATTATACACCTTGACGCCAGTGTTTAGCTGTTTCAAGACACGGCCCTTAACTAGTGAACACTTGAACAAGGACTACAGTACTTGTCCTAGCTTCGATAGCCTGGGCGACTAGTTGCACCCACCATTCAAATAACTTGCTTCAAAAGATCAATGTTTATTGCCCGACATTGCCATTGAAAGGTTCGAACGGCATGCATTATAAAGACATGCAGATCAAACACTGAATACAACCACTCAAACCTGTGAAAGGAAGCTCCATATTTCCGTTCAGTCAACAGCAAGGAAAATCAACAAAACAATACAACAATACAACTTTTGCACACATCACTATTTTGACCTACCGCACGTTATGGAGTTCTGTGGTGGAAGAACAACTACGAATGGTAAGGTTCATTTCACTAGATTGTCATCACATTCTAAGTTTTCGGCCATATTGTGATGAAAATTCCATACAAGAGTTAAACATACTTGTATAATTATTACCATGATGACTTCATGTACCTTCACCAAAACATAGGGAGGGTGGCGGAGCCAAGTGGTTAAAGTGTTCGAGAAGTGATAGGTTCGATTCCCCACATGGGTTCAATGTGTGAACCCATTTCTGGTGTCCCCCACCGTGATATTGCTAAAACTTACTAAAAGCTGTATAAAACCACACTCACACACTCACTCACTCACTCACCAAAAAATAAACCCAAATATATCAATCTCATTATCTGAAACCATCTGTCTCGGAAGTCTGTAAGCAGCAAAACTCATATGTCCGTTTGTACCCGTGGTGATGGTGGTCTTTCAACAAAGTAGCACATCTGAAGGACCATTATATTAAGGTGTGCCTTAAAGTGATCACCATACAATCCAGGGAACAGTCCGATGGTAAATCATTTCAATTATTCACAGGAATTGAGACCAGTTGCAGTTGCTTTCCATGGTTACCAAGGATATTTCCAATATTATCCCAATATTTCTAACAAGTGTGACAATTGTCACGCATGTTTCGCATATGAGTCATAAAAATCAATAGACTGGTTTCTTGCCCCGTAACTGTTGAAAACTCTGTTTGGTATTTTATGGCAAAATATGTAGGTTGGTTTGTTGTTTAACGCCACACTTAGCAATATTCCAGCTATAACTATAAGGCGTTGGTCTGTAAATAATCTAGACTGGATCAGACAATCAAGTGATCAACATCATGAGCATCGATCTACAGAAATGATGTGTGTCAACCAAGTCAGCAAGTCTGACCATCCGATCACGTTAGTCGCCTCTTAAGACAAGCATGAGTTGCTTTTCGGAAGACCAATTCTAAGGCCTAAAAAAATGTTGTGGTTCAGATTACCCGACCAACCCTTGAATTCTGGTGCCGACCCTATTATTTTTAAGCGGACTGAATAGAATAAGCTTTCAGATACCATTGTTTTTTCCAGGCGCCGACAGATATCGGTCATTCTGATAGAGAAAGTTGATAGATGGCCGCAATCTTGATTGAGTAAACAATTACACATTGATACATGTGTTATTAGTTTGCACTTTCCTTTTTAAAAAAATATATGAAAAAAAAAAATTCCTACCAACCTACCCTAAATTTTAAGAAGTGTAATCGGAACCACCAATTTTTTTTATTTGGCCTAACCCAGATCTTCACGGTCATAATAAGGATTATACACCGTATTGATGTGATATACACACTCTAATTATTATTTTTTTGGTTATTTACAGCAGTGCTCTGCAATATTCCAGCTTATGGCGTGCTAAACATACAGTTTGGACCAGATCATCCAGTGATTGATATGATAGGCATAAAGCAACACAACATGACTTCTGTCAATCCAATTAGTGAGAACTATAGGACTGACTGACTGACTGACTGATTCAGTTTGGTATTACGCCGCTTTTAACAATATTCCAGCAACATCACGGCGAGGGACACCAGAAATGGGCTTCACACATTGCACCCATGTGGGGATTCGAACCCGGGTCTTCGGCGTGACGAGCCAACGCTTTTACCATTAGGCTACCCCACCGCCCCGAGAACTATAGGACAGCATGAATACGTACTGGTATATCACAATACCCCTTTCACATGATGCATATTGCAATGTTGTTTCTCAGATCCGATATATTGGGTGATAAAAATAAAAATATATATGAAGTTTTGTAGTTATCTCTATGGTTTCAGTAAAATATACACAAACTTCATTCACACTGAAGTTTTCCATTGTAATTAATAGACAAAACAGCCTACTTCACATACAATAGATTTTATTAAAAAGAAAGTACTCTCCCTCAAAATATAACTAAATTCTAGATTTCTGTCATTACAACCTAACATTTATTTTTAGGGCTTTAGTATGTACAAAAAGGATATACAATTAATGTCACTCACTGTCAAAGACTGAAGCTCCCAATATATTGTAATATGTATCAGAATACGGGTACAAGAATCACAACATATCGCAAAACAGTATATTTGCCAGTCCACAGCCCTGTCAGAACAACCATTTAATCCCAGCCAGACTACAAAGAGATCCTGACACAGTCAGATCCTTACACAAAGAGATCCTGACACAGTCAGATCTTTACACAGAGGTCCTGACACAGTCAGATCCTTACACAAAGAGAACCTGACAGTCAGATCCTTACACAAAGAGATCCTGACAGTCAGATCCTTACACAAAGAGATCCTGACAGTCAGATCCTTACAGTGTCAGATCCTTACACAGAGAGATCCTGACAGTCAGATCCTCACACAAAGAGATCCTGACACAGACAGATCTTTACACACAGAGATCCTGACAGTCAGATCCTTACACAGAGAGATCCTGACACAGTCAGATCCTTACACAAAGAGATCCTGACAGTCAGATCCTTACACAAAGAGATCCTGACACAGTCAGATCCTTACACAAAGAGAACCTGACAGTCAGATCCTTACACAGAGAGATCCTGACAGTCAGATCCTTACACAAAGAGATCCTGACAGTCAGATCCTTACAGTGTCAGATCCTTACACAAAGAGATCCTGACAGTCAGATCCTCACACAAAGAGATCCTGACACAGACAGATCTTTACACACAGAGATCCTGACAGTCAGATCCTTACACAGAGAGATCCTGACACAGTCAGATCCTTACACAAAGAGATCCTGACAGTCAGATCCTTACACAAAGAGATCCTGACACAAAGAGATCCTGACAGTCAGATCCTTACACAGAGAGATCCTCACAGTCAGATCCTTACACAAAGAGATCCTGACACAGTCAGATCTTTACACAGAGGTCCTGACAGTGTCAGATCCTTACACAGAGAGATCCTGACACATACAGATCCTTACACAAAGAGATCCTTAAAGTCAGATCCTTACACAAACAGATCCTGACACAGAGAGATCCTTACACAAAGAGATCCTGACAGTCACAACCTTACACAAAGAGATCCTTACACAAAGAGATCCTGACACAGTCAGATCTTTACACGAAGATATCCTTACACAGAGAGATCCTTACACAAAGAGATCCTTACACAAAGAGATCCTTACACAGTCAGATCCTTACACAAAGAGATCCTGACACAGTCAGATCCTTACAAATAGAGATCCTTACAGATTCAGATCCTGGCACAAAGAGATCCTTACCTTATTTTTCTTGTAGACAGCATCCCACTGGGAAGGCGCGTCATAATAAAGCAACACTTCCTGTGTCCCGTAGTCCTGCAACAGAGGGAAATATATAATCTCTTTGTCCATGTATATGAGTCAGAAATTTCTATGTCCTACAGACAGACATATTCCAGCAGTGTGTTGATGGCATCTGTAAACAAACACCAAACTTCAGGTTCAAACTATACACCCATTGGCAGCAATAGAATCTCATGACGGGTCGGTCGGGTGGCCTAGTGGTTAAAGCATTTGCTTGTCACGCCGAAGACCTGGGTTTGTTTTCCCACATGAGTACAATGTGTGAAGTCCATTTCTGGTGTCCCCATCCATGATATTGCAGGAATATTGCTTAAAATGGTGCAAAACCTCACTCACTCATGACAAAATATTCTTAATACAGTTCTAACATGAAGTGATTCGTGTCTAAGACATTTATCACCTTGGTGACACCCATGAACAGAAGCATTAGAAACATAGCCGGGATGAACCATGGCTCGAACCAATGGGTTTCTGGTGGCTCCAAGGGACACAACTCCACTCTGTTCAATTAATAAGGGTGGGAGATAATGCCGTTAACCATATATAGCACTACTCCGCTCTGTTCAATTAATAAGGGTGGGAGATGATACCGGTTCACCAGTATATAGCACAACTCCACTCTGTTCAATTAATAAGGATGGGAGATAATGCGGTTCACCAGTATATAGCACAACTTCACTCTGTTCAATTAATAAGGGTGGGAGATAATACCGGTTCACCAGTATATAGCACAACTCCGCTCTGTTCAATTAATAAGGGTGGGAGATGATACCGGTTCACCAGTATATAGCACAACTCCACTCTGTTCAATTAATAAGGGTGGGAGATGATACCGGTTCACCAGTATATAGCACAACTCCACTCTGTTCAATTAATAAGGATGGGAGATAATGCGGTTCAACAGTATATAGCACAACTTCACTCTGTTCAATTAATAAGGGTGGGAGATAATACCGGTTCAACAGTATATAACACAACTCCGCTCTGTTCAATTAATAAGGGTGGGAGATAATACCGGTTCACCAGTATATAACACAACTCCGCTCTGTTCAATTAATAGGGGTGGGAGATAATACCGTTCACCAGTATATAGCACAACACGGCTCTGTTTAATTAATAGGGTTGGGAGATAATACTGGTTCACCAGTATATAGCACAACTCCGCTCTGTTCAATTGATAGGGTTGGGAGATAATACCGTTCACCAGTATATAGCACAACTCCGCTCTGTTTAATTAATAGGGGTGGGAGATAATACCGTTCACCAGTATATAGCACAACTCCGCTCTGTTCAATTAATAGGGTTGGGAGATAATACCGTTAACCAGTATATAGCACAACTCCGCTCTGTTCAATTAATAGGGGTGGGAGATAATACCGTTCACCAGTATATAGCACAACTCCGCTCTGTTCAATTAATAGGGGTGGGAGATAATACCGGTTCAACAGTATATAACACAACTCCGCTCTGTTCAATTAATAAAGGTGGGAGATAATACCGGTTCAAACAGTATGTAGCACAACTCCGCTCTGTTCAATTAATAGGGGTGGGAGATAATACCGGTTCAACAGTATATAGCACAACTCCGCTCTGTTCAATAAATAGGGGTGGGAGATAATACCGGTTCAACAGTATATAGCACAACTCCGCTCTGTTCAATTAATAGGGGTGGGAGATATTACCGTTCACCAGTATATAGCACAACTCCGCTCTGTTCAATTAATAAGGGTGGGAGATAATACCGGTTCACAAGTATATAACACAACTCTGCTCTGTTCAATTAATAGGGGTGGGAGATAATACCGTTCACCAGTATATAGCACAACTCCGCTCTGTTCAATTAATAGGGGTGGGAGCTAATACCGTTCACCAGTATATAGCACAACTCCGCTCTGTTCAATTAATAGGGGTGGGAGATAATACCGGTTCACCAGTATATAACACAACTCCACTCTGTTCAATTAATAGGGGTCGGAGATAATACCGTTCACCAGTATATAGCACAACTCGGCTCTGTTTAATTAATAGGGGTCGGAGATAATACTGGTTCACCAGTATATAACACAACTCGGCTCTGTTCAATTAATAGGGTTGGGAGATAATACCGTTCACCAGTATATAGCACAACTCCGCTCTGTTCAATTCATAGGGTTGGGAGATAATACCGGTTCACCAGTATATAGCACAACTCCGCTCTGTTCAATTAATAAGGGTGGTAGATAATACCGTTCAACAGTATATTGCACAACTCCGCTCTGTTCAATTAATAAGGGTGGGAGATAATACCGGTTCAACAGTATGTAGCACAACTCCGCTCTGTTTAATTAATAAGGGTGGGAGATAATACCGGTTCAACAGTATATAGCACAATTCAGCTCTGTTCAATTAATAGGGGTGGGAGATAATGCCGGTTCAACAGTATATAGCACAACTCCGCTCTGTTCAATTAATAGGGGTGGGAGATAATACCGGTTCAACAGTATATAGCACAACTCTGCTCTGTTCAATTAATAAGGGGGGGAGATCATACCGGTTCAACAGTATATAGCACAACTCCGCTCTGTTCAATTAATAGGGGTGGGAGATAATACCGTTCACCAGTATATAGCACAACTCCGCTCTGTTCAATTAATAAGGGTGGGAGATAATACCGGTTCAACAGTATATAGCACAACTCCGCTCTGTTCAATTAATAGGGGTGGGAGATAATACCGGTTCAACAGTATATAGCACAACTCTGCTCTGTTCAATTAATAGGGGTGGGAGCTAATACCGTTCACCAGTATATAGCACAACTCCGCTCTGTTCAATTAATAGGGGTGGGAGATAATACCGGTTCACCAGTATATAGCACAACTCCGCTCTGTTCAATTAATAAGGGTGGGAGATAATACCGTTCACCAGTATATAGCACAACTCCGCTCTGTTCAATTAATAGGGGTGGGTGCTAATACCGGTTCAACAGTATGTAGCACAACTCCGCTCTGTTCAATTAATAAGGGTGGGAGATAATACCGGTTCAACAGTATATAGCACAACTCCGCTCTGTTCAATTAATAGGGGTGGGTGCTAATACCGGTTCAACAGTATATAGCACAACTCCGCTCTGTTAAATTAATAGGGGTGGGAGATAATACCGGTTCAACAGTATATAGCACAACTCCGCTCTGTTCAATTAATAAGGGTGGGAGATAATACCGGTTCACCAGTATATAGCACAACTCCGCTCTGTTCAATTAATAGGGTTGGGAGATAATACCGGTTCACCAGTATATAGCACAACTCCGCTCTGTTCAATTAATAGGGGTGGGAGATAATACCGGTTCACCAGTATATAGCACAACTCCGCTCTGTTCAATTAATAGGGGTGGGAGATAATACCGGTTCAACAGTTTATTGCAATTCGAACTTCACAACACGATATATTGCGGTACACTTTTCCCTTACCGGTTCACCTGATAGGATCGTAATTTTTGTCTGGTAGTCAAAACTACTAATACCATTTGTATTTCCTGTATATTATCATACATGAATAGTTTCTAGAATGTTTATCGGTCATTTAATTGAATTTGCGTGACTTTTCAACCCTATAAATAAAAAAAAGTATGATTGGTACCGGCACTCATTTTTTTCTCGAGTTCCAAACTTTAAAGCGAAGTCTTCAGTTTGGAAACATTTTCAATTGATCTCTTGTAAATCACATCTGAGTCCTGACAGTGGCCAGTGGCTTTGTTTCGAAAGAAAAGAAACAATAAATATATTACCTTAACCCATGTATTACACTTTCACAATATATTGCAATACAACATCTGGATCAGACAATCCAGTGTCCAGTACATATTGCAATACGCCAACACATATCCCAATATATATCGCAATACGAACATTTTGAGAATACTCAACCCTATCAATTAATATACCAACTTGCCCAACCTGATCGTGAAATTGTGTATTGCCTGGCAAGTTTGAAAATACTGTTCGGTTGTCCTCGAGCAAGTTATAAAATCAGCAGTGGTAACCTCATACTTAGAAGATTCATAACCTGGTGCGAGAAATAATTTGTAATTATCTCCTTTACACGAACTGACACCTGGGTCAGACTGGCTCCCTGCCATAGCTTGTTTTGTTTGTTTGTTTTTTAAAGCCGCAATATTCCAGCTATATGGTGGCGGTCTGCAAATAGTCAAGTCTGGACCTGACAATCCAGTGACCAACAGCATGCACATCGATCTAGATGTTGTGAAGTGACAGTGTATGAAATAAGCCAAAAACCCAACGAGACATCAGGGCTGGCAACTTCAAAATGTTACCAGCCCAAAATGGATTTAACCGGACCAGAAACCAAGATGTGTATGGAACATCTAAAAGTTTTACCAGACCATCGGGCTGGCTAGCTGTAAATCTTGGCCGTCCGTCAGATATCGAGCCCGTCTGGGGCGGTCGGACGGGCCTTTATATAATTTCATACACTGGTAGTGAGCATATACAAACGTGGCAAGGGGCAGTCTACTTGCTGTATAATTCCATCCTTATATTGTTATCCTAACTTGAACTTTATGTCAATGTGCTTGTTTCCAACTTTCTAATGTATTACATGTTAGAATTCAGGCTGGCTAGACTGTTGATCTAATCAAACATGTAAGATAAGGTCAAACTTTATGGGTTAACAACGTCCTTATTCAGGTGATACGACGTTTCGATACCTTCTTGTTTCGTTGTCAAGCAGGTATGCGTCAAAACAACGTATCAGCTGAATGAAGAAATTGTTCATCCATAATGTTTGTTCTTATCGGACTCCAATTTCTAAAAACGCCACTCAAAGAAGTATTCAAACACAGTTTATCTCTAGACATCAAATCTGTTGAAGTTCAATTACTAATTATATATTCATAAATTATCTCCATGTTCAGTCAATTTAGTCTGGAATATAGTCACTCATAAAAGTGGACTTAATATATTCTAGAGACTATACTCCCAACTCACGTCATAATGTTTCATTTCATTCTGTCACA